CTTTATTGAGGGCTTACAGTGTTACAATGTGTCAAACTCTGCTATCACATACAGGAATTTCAACCTACCAGCCATTGTAGACTTTGGGTCCAGCAGAGTTAAGATACTCAGTGCACAGACACCCTTTGTGTGGGAAGCTGGCCCAGGTGGGCAGCCAGCTGCTCGCAGGGAAGGAAGTCCGGGGGGCACAATCTTATGTATCTTCCTCTCTGAACCTGAAATCTCACCGAGGAACATCACTCCTTAAGCTTAAAGCTTTTGTCATGCTTCAAAGTGTCAATACTGTTTTTAAAAGTTTATTTATTTTTGAGGGGGGGGGAACAGGCAGGGGAGGGGCAGAGAGAGAGAAGGAGCGAGAGAGAGAATTCCAAGCAGGCTCTGCACTGTCAGCGCAGAACCCCATGGGGGCTCGAACTCATGAACCGTGAGATCATGACCTGAGTCGAAACCAAGAGTGGGACTCTTAACCGACTGAGCCACCCAGGCACCCCAAAATGTTAATACTTTTTAAGTATCATTAGTCATTTATATTATTATAAGAATAATTTTCAGGTTACTTGATGGCACGATTGAATCTCAAGGTTGGGAAGGACTCTACTTCCTCCAGCCGAGACTTGAACATCTTTATTCAGCTTCTGCTCAAACAGGGAGCAGTCAGGATTGCGTTCAAATCCTTTCTGCTTCATGAGCCCCTCTGAGCCCCAGTTTGGGTTGTTTAAAAATCTGTTTCATGGGGATGAGAAAACCAAACTTGTAGGTCTGAATATTAAATGAGCTATTTGTAAAGTATGACTTGATATTTTGAACAAATAGGATGAAATCAGAAAACAGCCTTTTTTTTTTCTTTAAATGAGTTAATTATTTTTCAGAGACAGAGTGTGAGCAGGGGTGAGGATCAGAGAGAGGGGAGAGAGAATCACGCTGTCAGTGCACAGCCTGACTCGGGGCTCGAACTCACGAACCATGAAATCATGACCTGAGCCAAAATCATGACCTGCGCCGAAATCAAGAGTCAAATGCTTAACTGGCTGAGCTACCCAGGTGCCCCAGAAAGCAACCTGATTTTTCTCTTCCACTGTCATTCACTGACTAGGTCTCTTTCATCCCTGGCCTTGGATGAGAAGAGAGGGGGGCCTCCTGCCTTCACTTGTCTTCCCTACGATCAGCAGACACTGGAGGTCAAGAAACACAATCTCAATATGATAATTAAAATGTCTTGTCCAAGGTTAGATGAGCAATTGAAGCTGAATCCACCAAACACAGGGGTCCAAGCAAATGTCCATGTGGCTGTGAGTGATTTGGGTTATCAACCTCGCAGTCAGGGAAGGGGTGGTGACCTGTCTAGAAATATACATATTTCACTCAACCAAGCTGATGTCTCTATTATTAAAAGCTTGAAAATTAACAGGCAGATTCACCTACTTAGATGTACTCAAGCTCAGCTCAAACTGTGTTTTGTGAAATTGATGGCTACCACCCAAAGTAAGAATTCTTGTCCCATCAGAGATGAATGAAAACAAGTATTCTTGAAACTAAGAAAAAAATACTGACATGGATCATCATTTTGACTGATTTAACAGAAACCAGTCACTAAGGGAGACAGTAATTAATTCAATATTATTTATCTGCCTATGCTTTTTCATGTCTCTCTCTTATCTCACAGATCATATACTTTTTACTAAAGTCTTTATCGAAGTATTATTTATTTGTTAATTTATTATTTATATATAGAGAGAGTGGGGGGATAGATGCAGAGGGAGGGAGAGAGAATCTTAGGCAGGCTCCATGCTCAGTGCGGAGTCTGACTTGGGGCTCGATCCCATGATCCTGGGATCATGACCTTATCTGAAATCAAGAGTTAGATGCTGAACTGACTGGGACACCCAGGCACCCCTATCGAGGTATAATTTAAACATCACAAAACACACCCACTGTAAGCATACAAACAAACGCTCCTTAGTAAATGTATAGAGTTTTGCAAACATCACCATGATCCAGTTTTAGAATATTTTCCCACTGTTCTCATGCTGGTTCTGCGAATCCTCACTTCCATTTCTAGCCCCAGGCAACCGCAGATCTGCTTTTTGTCTCTATGGATTTGCCTTTTAAAAAAGTTTTATGCAAATGCAACATTAAAAAAGCATATATCAACCATGTATTTTACAATATTTACATTCCATTGTGATGACTTTTGTTAAACTATTCCCCAGTTGTGGATTGGTTTCAATTTTGCTTTTTGGCTTTATAAATAAAGCTTCTCTGAAGTGTCACATCCAAGTCTTTGTGTGTATATCATATATTTTCATTTTTCTTAGGTAGGTCACTGAGAATGGATTTGCTGATGTACATGGTAAGTATATGTTTAACTTTTAAAGGAAACCCAACTGTTTTTCAAAGTAATGGTACATTACATTCCCACCAGCAATGGATGAGGGTTGCAGTTTCTATGCATCTCCATGAACACTGGGTATTGTCAGTCTTTTACATGATAACCATTACAGTGAGTCTGTGTGGTATCTCATTACAGCCCCAATGCATAGGTGCGTGCATTTTTGCTAATGAATGATGATATTGAGCATCTTTTCATGTGCTTATTTCCATTTACATATCTTCTTCAGAGAAAGGTCTAGTAAAATCTCGGCCCACTTAGAAAATTGGGTTGTTTACATTAAAAAAATTTTTTGAAAAAGGGGGCACCTGGATGGCTCAGTTAGTTAAGTGTCTGACTTCAGCTTAGGTCATGATCTTCCTGTTCACGGGTTCAAGCCCCGCATTGGGTTTTGTGCTGACAGCTCGGAGCCTGGAGCCTGCTTTGGATTCTGTGTCTCCCTCTCTCTCTGCCCCTCCCCCATTCACACTCTGTCTCTCTCCCTCTCTCTCAAAAATAAATAAACATTAGGAAAATAAACCCCCAAAATTGGGTTGTAGCTCCTTACATAATCTGGGAACAATTCACTTAGCAGGCATATGATTTGCAAATATTTTTCTTCCAGTTTGTAGGTTTTCTTTTTATTGTTATAATGGTGTCTTTTGAAAAGCATATGTTTTAATTTCAACGAAGTCTAACTTACCAATGTTTTCTCTTACGAATCGTGCTTTTGGTATCATATCTAATAAATCTTTGCCTAATTCAAGGTCACAAAGAATGACTCCTATGTTTTGTTTTAGAAGATTGATAATTTTAGTTCTTTCATTTAGGTATGAAACATTTTGAGTTGATTTTTGTATATGGTATGAGATAACAGCCTAATTGTTTTGTTTTCGTATATGACCATATGTATATTCAATCATTTCAGTCGCATTTGTTGAAAAGACTATTCTTTCCTCCATCAAATTGACTGGGCACTTTTGTAAAAAATCAATTGGCTATAAGTAGAGGAGTTTATTTCCTGACTTCTGCTCAATTTATCTACATGTTTGTCTTTAAGCCAAAACCATACTCTATTGATTACTATAACTTATACTAAGTTTTGAAATCAAGCAGACTAACTATTCTTACTTTGTTCTTTATGTAGCTTTTATGTACCATCTTCAGTTTTTGTGTACAGATTCATGTCATCTATGAATCTGTAAACAGGTTTACTCTTTCCTTTACAGTCTCTGTGTATTTAACTGCTTTTTCTGGCCCCTATTACAGAGTAGAACCTCAAGTGTAGCGTTGAACAGAAATGGTGAGCACTGATATCTTTGCCATATTCCTGATCTTTGGGGGAAAGGATTCAATCTTTTACCATGTCTCTTACCATTAAGTATGAGAGTTGTGGGTTTCTTACAACTGCCTTTTATGAAGTTGAGAAAGTTTCCTTTTACTCTCGGTCTTTCAAGAGCTTTGATCATGAATAATGTTGGGTTTTGTTGGACATTTTTCTGCAAATGTTAAGATGATCATGAAGCTTTTGTCCCTGATTCCCTTAGTATGGAGTATTACATACATACATTGAAATTTGTTTGATGGCCTAGTATATAATATAACCTGGAGAATGTTCCATCTGCTTTTGAAAAAAAATGTGTATTTATTTTAGATAGAGTACTCTAAAAATACTCTAAAAATGTCTCTTAGTCAAGTTGCTTGGTAGTGTTATTTAGGTGTCTGTGTATTTGCTGATTTTCTGTTTAGCTGTGCTATCAATTACTGAAGGGGGATATTGAACTTTCTAATTGTTAGACTGCCTATTCTTTCAACACTATGCACTTTTGCTTCATAAATTTTGAGGCTTTGCTGTTATATAGAGTTACATTTATAATTGTTATATCTTTCTAATGTATTTACACTTCATTACTATGTAATATCCCTTCTTGTCTTTAGAAATATTTTTTGACCAGAAAGTTAATTTTCACTTGATAGTAACACAGCTACTCTGGCTCTCTTATTGCTACCGTTGGCATGGTATACCTTCCTCATCATTTTACTTCTAACCTATTTGTGTCTTTTTGTGTGAAGTGTGTCTCATGTAGACAATAACCATTGAATCTTATTTTAGTCTATTCTTATAATCACTGCCTTTTAATTACAGTGTTTATCCATTTGTATTTAATATGATTATTGATGTGGTTGGATTTAGCTCTGTCATTTTGTTTTCTATGTCTCATTTTAAAACGTGTTCCCCCTTCACTGCTTTTGTGCTAAACAATTTTTTTTTTCCTAGCTGTACCATTTCAATTCCTCTCTTGCTTTACTTCACACCTTTCCCTTCTCATTTCAGGCCCCAACATATAAAAACATTGTCCTGTGGTGCCTCAGGACACCACAGGGTGGCTCAGTTGATTAAGTGTCTGACTCTTGATTTCGGCTCAGGTCATGATCTCAGAGTTTGTGAGTTCAAGCCCTGCGTCAGGCTCTGCGCTGACAGTGTGGAGCCTGCTTGGGATTCTCTCCCTCTCTCTGTCCCTTCCCCACTCATGCATGCACACACACTCTCTCTCAAAACAAACAAACAAACAAAAACAACGACATCGTCCTGTATAGGAGGTTTGAGTATAATGATTGATGCTCCCCTGAAGCTAGGACAATTAGTAGTGGGAAGAGGCAGGGAAGGTAGGAGGAAGCAATGCCTGAAGCTGAGGATAAGGTGCAGGTGGTGGCACCAGCCATCTTGGGGAAGTGATTGTACAAAGAAATAGCATAAAATCAGAGGTCAGAGCTGAGTGCATTTCATTCTTCCAAGATGAGGATGGGGGGGCAGGGAGAGGAGGAGGTTGGATAAGGGGAGGAGAGCTCCCCACCAGGAAACGTTCTGAAGTTCACGGTCCAGAAGTCAAGACTCAGCTGGACAGGCTGCGTCTTTGCCAGGGAAGCCTCAGATGTTCATTGTCAAGCTGATAAACTGGGAACAAAAAAGGAGAGAGACAGAGAAGGGCTGGTCATCCCTCTACTTCCCCGCCAGCCCTGGTTTGTTGACTTCGCGGCAGCTCTGCCATCCGACCATCTTGGCTGCTAATGTGGACTTCGGCTTCAACATAAAATATTTTTTTAAAAAAATGAATTCTCAGCACTTTATGTCTTTCCAGGGGTCCTGAGTTCTGAATTGGCTCAAGTCAAGCGCAGATGGTGAGACAGAGAGGGAAATGTGCTTTTTCCCTGGCAAAGCAGACAGCCTTCCTGAGGCTCCTCAGGCAGGGCAATATGAAATGCCTTTTCCTCTTTGATGAGGGGCCACCTCACGCTGAGGACACAGGTGGTCCTCCATCGAGAGGAGGCTGCAGGCTCATCATGCGGGGCTCTTTACAAGCGAACTGGTGGAGAAGTTGCATGCAGTTCCTTCTCATCTCCGCCATCTTGCCTCTGCCTCCTCCCTCCAGTTTTCCTATCACAACGTAGTGACTTGTGGGATGTTATTTTCTCTCCTCTCTGCCCCCCTTCCTGGGCACAGCACATGCTGATGCCAGGGTCAGGGAAGGCGGTCGGGTGAAGGACGATGATGCGCAGGCTCTTTTAACAGAGTAACAGTGGGTGGGGCCAACCCAGGCAGTCCAAGGATTCATTGTTACCTAGGTGGATGGCAGGGGGCGCTCCTAACTGTGGCTCTTGAACTTGGCCACATATTGTACCCATTAGGGAATTTTATTTATTTATTTATTTATTTATTTATTTATTTATTTTTAAATATTTTAAAATTTTACATCTGAGAGAGACACAGCATGAGCAGGGGAGGGTCAGGGAGAGAAGGAGACACAGAATCTGAAACAGGCTCCAGGCTGTGAGCTAGCTCTTAGCACAGAGCCTGATGCGGGGCTCAAACCCAAGAACCATGAGATCATGACCTGAGCCGAAGTCGAATGCTTAACCGACTGAGCCACCCAGGCACCTCACTGGGGAATTTTAAAAGTATCAATGTTTGGGAGTGCCTGGGTGGTTCAGTCGGTTAAGCATCCGACTCTTGATTTCAGCTCAGGTCATGGTCCTAGGGCTGTGGGAGGGAGCCCTGCCTCAGGTTCTGTGCTGAGAATGGAGCCTAATTAAGATTCTCTCTCCAACTCCCTCTACCCATTTCCCATTCTCTCTCTCTCTCTAATATATATATATATCTATCAATGCTTATGCCCTACAAAGACAGATATGGACTTATTTGGTCTGGGTCACTGCCAGGTCTTTGGATTTTAAAATCTCCCCAGATGATCTAATGTGCAGCCAGAGTTGAGGATGATGGGCTTGAAGGGAGAGAGAGGGAGAAGACTCAAAGATTTGTCCTGTTATCTTGGAGATGGACAACATGGGGCGGGGTGGGGGGGGGGGTGCGGGAGCTGAACCAGATGACTTGGGTCTACTTCGGGGAGGGCAGACAGGAAAGCAAGCTTGTTCCAGCTCCCACACACATGTGGGCACTTGGTTTGGAAGTGACACCTTGACTCTGAGGCAGTGGAACCCTTCCACCATGGCTCTGGTACTGAGGCCTTTGGCTAAGAGGGTATTGAGTACCACACCTGCCCACTCTCCCCCCTGCACTGGGGATAGGGGGCAAATGTCCTTTCCCCTTGCTTAATAGTATCTAAACCTTGATGAAACTGAGAAATCTCCCTTATTTTTGTAAACAGCCAGTTTGAGTATACACCTCTTTCTTTGGAGTCCCCAGGCTATTGTACATAGTTATATTGTTTTATACAATCAGAGGAGTTATATTTATTGAGTGTGTTGTGTGCGCTGAAGGTTAAAGAGAATACTAGAAAAGGAAAACGTCCAGTTTCTATCCTTAGGGAAATTGCAATGTAACCAGGGGCCTGAGATACACACATGAGAACACTGGTGGTGAGCCGACACAATAAATGGCCAAATTATACGATATTTGTAGAAACCAAACCTTTGATGTAAGCATAAGGCCTCCATCTCTCTGCAAATGGGGACACTGAGGCACAGAGCAGGTGACTTGACCAAAATCAAAGCAGAGCCCACACTGCCATCAACCTCTTTATCTTGATAGTCAGTAAAATGCAACCCAAATCCAAAGTGGCTATTGAATTGGGAAATAAGCCAGTGTTTGCAGTATGAATGTGAAGAAGGGTGAGGAGAAGAAAGAGCCTAGGAAGGGAAGGAGACACAGGCTGCTGCCTTTGCTACCGTTAAGTCCAAGGGAAAGCAGAGCTGGACAGGAAGACACGGGGAGAGAAAGGAAAATCATGGGAAATAAAAATCATGGGATCCATGGAAGGGAAGCGTTTCATAATTTTCTCCCTCCCTCCCTTGGGGCAGGAGAATGACTAACCAGCATTCACAAACCTCAGTACTAGTAGGAATCACTTCAGATCCTCGTAAAACAAGATCTGATTCAGCAGGTCTGGCGTGGGGCTTGGTGCTCTGCTTTTCTTATTCATTGGTGTGGTTTTTTATTTTATTTATTTTATTGACATATAACTGACATAGAACACTGTGTGAGTGTAGGATGTACAATGTGTTGATTTGATACATTTGTATATTGCAGCGTGATTACCACTGTGGCGTTAGCTAACACGTGTTTCAGGTCACGTAATCATCACGTCTTTTCTGTGGCAAGAATAATTAAGATGGTGTCTCTTAGCAACTCTGAGGCTGAGGACAGTACTTACTGTGGACAGTAATCACCATGTGAAACTCTGCATTTCTAACAAGCTCCCCTACGGGATGCCCAAGCTATTGGTCTGCAGACCACACTCTGGGCAGAGGGGAGAGGACTATCTACACCTGGGATACCTCTTCCGAGCCTCTGAAATTCTGATCTGTGCTCTGCCCTCCATCGCTTTTGCTGCAGTTAGCCCCTCTAATTGGCACAAGGTGTGTCTTTCTCAGGGTTTTTGAGGTGTGTGCACACGTGTGCATACACGCACGCGTGCACACCGACCCCCCCTTAGAATCATGAGACCCGCAGGACAGCATGAGCAAGGGGAGTGAACAAATTGGAGGCTAGAAGGCGGCAGAATGAGGAACCCATATGGCAGAAGGAAGAGGAGTCAAGGCTTGCTGGCTCACTCTGTGATTAAGCTCTTTATGCCTCAGTTTCCACTTCGGCAAAATGGGGGTGCTGTTAGTCCTTAGCTCACAGGGCTATTGTAATGATTGCATGGACTGCTAACTGACAGGTACCTAAAAAATAGTAGCAATTTCACTGTTGTCACTGCCCTGTGGGTCAGTGCAAACTTCGCATTCAGTCGCGCATTTGGCAAGTGTTTACACAGCATGGGCTCTGCCCCGCCCTGGCTGGATCATACCTCGTTTATGCTGAGATGAATGCACTCCTTGTTCTTCGTACTGAGCGCCTGGAACACCCCTAATGGAAGAGACATGGGAAAGACATCATTGTGGGGAGGGTTCCTTCGGCAGGTTTAACGATTTCCCCTGATCTTGGGGCCTGCGGGGCAGCCGTGGAGGAGCTGCTCCATCTGGTGGTGAGCATGGGGCTTCTCAGGCGGCTCCACTGGGATCTCGCATGGCGGAGGCTCTTGAACTCCTGGGATGGCGGAGCTGGTGGCCTTACCATTGGGTGGCACGTGCTGTCATCTACAACCTGTCAGTCAGCCAGCCAGCTCCTCGGCCCCAAACATCTCCCCTGTGCTAACTTTTTTGGGAGCTACAGATCCCTTGCAATCTCGGACCTTCTCCCCAGAGAAAAAACACACATACGTAAAGTTTTGCATGAGTCTTGAACGCTGTTCAATCTCTATGAGCCCCTTACGAGGAGATGTGCCCCCAAGGTGCTCCCGCACGTGGGAGCAGGGGTACGACAGAGAGCCGTCTAAGCTGGACGCCATGGCTAACGCACTGAATAGCCTGGAAGTTGCTTGCTGGGACCTCAGTCTCCCCATCTTGTCAAAGTAGCTGAGCCAGTCAACACTGGCTTCCCTTGAGAGTTACCAGGGAGCTTAAAAGATATAACAAAAAGGGGGAAGGCGAGAGGCCTAGAATGGACAGGGCCCAACAGCCCAATGCGGTGGGTAAATCCCGAGACAAGCAAACCAACGTGGAAAGAGGGCCTGGGGAAGTTGAGAACGGGCCAGGTCTTAGATGATAGTGAGGGTTTGCCTAGAGCCTGCCTGTCAGAGATATTTACAGGGAGAAGGGACTGAATTTCTGAGCTCTGTTATTAACTAATTCAGGAAAAAAATATATGTTAGAACATATGATAGGTGAGCAGAATGATCATTGTTGAGGCTGGTATAAAAATCCCTGAAAATATAAATACTGATGCTACATGTCACCCCTTGGATTCTATTCATTTGGCCTCCTGCACAGCCCGGTCATCACAAAACACTATTTTTTCTTATAAACCCCTTCTCCTATTGTGCCCATCCCCCACCCCTAAAATCCCTCCATTGTAAGAACACAATGGGCACCCGCTGTTGCAAAGGATTGGCCCAAGGGGACTCAGAAAGGACAGGGGCAGCAGAGAGAAGAGAAGCCACCAAGTCTCATTATTTTTAGGTCTTTTTGGGCCACTCTGTAACTATAGTAAGTGATGATCTTTCAGGAAGTGCCCTTTCTAAAATGCACCTCTTACCAACTACTGCTGACCAACCTCCCGGCTTGGTGTACAAGGCCAAGGACCTGCTTGCTTCTCTCAGATCATGATGATCAGCCAGCACAAGTGCGTTGTGTGTCCTCTAAGCCTGACCTCCTCCCGGGTATGACAGCCTGGTGGAGGTAGGTTTCAGCAGGTAATCACATGTGACCTAAGTGGTGCAAAAGAAGCAGAGGGCGGAGCCCCAGCGCCCTGGAACCGAGGAGCCTGGACCCTGCCTTGGTTTAGCGAGTGCCTTGAAGTCACCTAAGCAAACATCCTTTAGAAAATGCCAAGCAGGATGGGTCCATACTTTGTGGGGCCCAGTGCAAAATGGAAATGTGGGGGCCCCTGTTCAAAAATGATTAAGATTCAAGATGGCGACGCCAAAGTGTTAAACCAAGTGCAGGCATCCTCAGGGGTGTGGGGCCCTGTGCACCAGCGCATTTCGCTCCCTCCTCCAACCTGGCAGCCACCCAGGTGCTAGGTCACAGGCCCCGGATGTGTTTCATTCAGCTTCAACTCTGTGACACTGTGACAGGAAACCGTAAGCTCTAAGGACCCCCTGCATGTAAACTCTTGAGGTAACAACTCTTGTCTGGGATAACTGGGTCAGTGTTTAGAGCGTACAAGACACAAAGGTAGGGTGGAGGGAGGGGGGCGGAGGGAGACTGAGAGGAAGAAGGAGAGAGACTCCGCTGATTCTTGGTGCCGTGACAGGTTTGATCCCAGCTGGAGCCTTTCCTCAGACAAGAGGCAGGAGCCGCCCACCCGTGGCCCCGTCCTCCCACAAGGATGCTGTGAATGCATGTGTGGAGAATGGCTCTTAGCAAGCCAGGGGCACAGTGGACACAGGTTGGGCCCAGAACCCACGGGTCGTGCAAGAGAAGGTTCTTAACTTCGCAGCACAGAAGACCCTCAATCCCACCCCTCAGCCAACCACGCACAGCACAGAGGTCACACGATGAGAGTTGTCTGCGGCCTCTCACCAGCTCCTGGGAGGGAGCCCAGGGGTCATGGACCCCCTTCCCGGGGGCCCAGGGGGCGCAGCCCCGCCAGACACTCACGGCTTGCGTTCTCCAACCGGACCAGGCAGTTGAGGAAGTCATCGAAGCCCAGCTGGAGTTCCTCGTCTGTGTACCTGAGGACAGTCAGCTGCAGGAGGTGACGGCTCAGCTGGAAGCCTGCGGGGAAGAGCGAGGAGATGTCAAGTCTGGGCCCTCTGTACCTTTGGGAAGCGCCCAGTGTTCTGTTTGCAAAGTGCAGCTTCCCAGGCCCAGCGGGGACCGCCGTCCTCAGACAATGCATGTCTACACTAGCTGAGAATGTTTCTAGATGTTTGGCTTACCTGGGAGGGAAGCAGATTATAAGCTCTGGAGGGGCCCAGGGGACCTGTCTGTGAGTCACACTCTGTGGGAAACACCACGCAGCTTCGTGCTGCAGTGGCCTCAAAGCCATGGCTATGTGCCAAGGACAGCAGAGCCCCAGACACTCAGACCGCCATGGCGGGGACTGCGGGAGGGTGAGAGACACCGCTTGGATCCTGTCCTTTGTGTGTGTACAGAGTTGGTAGAAGTTATGACTGAATCATCTGGTTTGGATTCAGTCTGCTGGTGACAAAGCCAAGGACAGAGTGGCAGGTGGCCGAGGAGCTCTGTGAGCTCCTCCCTGACCCCCAACCACGGGATCGGGCACACCCTGCCTCGACCATGATGATCACCATCTGAAAGCAGCAGTTAGAGGTTTGGAAGCACTCCCGCCTTCCATCAAAGGGTCACATGTACTCCTGCTTGGCCAGAGGCTGAGAGAGGGGGTGAGGCTAAGTTCAGCCCTAGTGGGTACGTTTTAAAGACTCCAATATTGCACAGTCGTTTAAAACACGGGTCCTGGTATGAGGGAGCGAGTTCCGAGCCCGTGGCCTGGGTCTGCCACTAACAAGGCTGTGCTCTTAAGAAGCATGAACTCAGGTTAAAGACCGGCCATGCTCTAGGGCATGAGAAGCAAGTAGCTTCTAGCCTCTTCTAGGCTTTTCTTTACCTGCGGCTTTCAGGGCGGTCCGCAGCTCATAGGAGGACATGGTGCCAGACTTATCAGCATCGAACTGAAGGAACAGGCTCTACGGGGAAGACAGAGGCGCTGAGAACCAGAGGCCGGAGGCGCCGTCGATGATGACCGCCGGCGCTGGAGGAGACAGACCCCTCAGGGCCGGCTGGGCGAGGGCTTCAAGAGAGGTTGGCCCCTTGGGTTTTCCTTTTCATTTTGGGCACCAGTACTGTGGTACTTCTGGAAGCATGAGAAGTGAACTTGGGAATGGGATTCCATCATGGTGGCTTCCCTTCTGCTCTTTCCTGGCCGGCAGCACTTGACCGTTTAAAAGCCCCTCCTGCCCTAGGCTCACCAAATGCCCCGAGGCCGGGCCCCGGCCGGGTTACATACTGTCCACTTCTTCAACGTGTTCCAGAACACCTTGAACTCTCCGAACTCCAGCTTCCCGTTGCCGCTGGTCTGCGCAGAGAGCATTAAGGAAGGAAGGAAGGAACAAAGGAAGTCAGGCAGGCAAGCCGGGTTTCAGCCCGAGGTACCTTGTAGGACTCCAGAGATGGAGGGATGGGAGGGGCTGGCCTGGGGGACAGGGAACCAGATGCAGGGCTCTAGGGAGGTGGCTTAGCTACAAGCCGTGCATCTCTGAAGAATGAATATGGCAAGGGTGAGATGAGGGAGGGCACCTGAAGGCTTGAATAAGCACATTATTAAAAAATAAAAACACCCTTTAGGGTCACCTGGGGGCTCAGTCAGTTAAGCGACCGACTTTGGCTCAGGTCATGATCTCACGGTTTGTGAGTTCAAGCCCCACATTGGGCTCTCTGCTGTCAGTACAGAGCCTGCTTCGGATCCTCTGACCCCCCGACCCTCCCCTCTCCCCCCGCTCCTCTCCAGCTAGTGCTCTCTCTCTCTCTCCCTCTCAAAAAAAAAATTTAAAAAATTTAAAAAAACTTTATTCTCTTAGGTGAGACCCCAAAGTGGTAACAAGATTCCCAAGTCCCTTCAAAACCTTCCCCTCACTGGCCAGTCTGTGCCTCTTGACTCGGCTCCAATTCTAGGGGCTTCCCAGTCTTGGGTTGTTCTCTGAGGAGATAACTATTCTACCCGTGAAGGATGTCGCAATCCAGGAAGGTCTGTGTTGGAGCAAAACATGGCTATTTCTGCTCTTGGATTTGGAAGGATACGTCCATTAGGGAAATGATGTTTTTACAGGAAATCAGGCTCAGCTTCTTGAATTTGATGTCCTTTTCTGAAATCACACATGGGAGCGGAATTCATTAGACACACGATAAGATGCCTCTAACCCCGGCTGCTGGAAGTCCCACCGTGTGGTCAGATCTGGGGCTGGTGACGGGGACACGTGGTCATTCCCAGAATGCTGGCGAGAGTGGAAACTGACATGGCCTTTTGTGAGGAGAATTTGCGAACTATAAAAAGAAATGCCTTAAAACTGGGAATATCTTTCCATCCTTTACCCTCGTGTTAAGAATCCCAGGCAAAGAATTACAAATTAAGATTTTTCTCATTTGGTTATTAATGATGGCAAACATTTAGAAATGATGTAAATGCCCAATGGAAGGGTAGGGGCAGTAAGTTAGTTTATGGGTATAGGGCGGATTATTACACAGTCCTTAAGAACCGTGATTTTGAAGCATATGTAATGACCTGGAAAAATGCTCATTAAAAAGTCTGTTTAAAAGGCAGGATTTTAAGTCACTGAAGAAAGGGGCATCTGGATGGCTCAGTAGGTTAAGCATCTGACTCCTGATTTTGGCTCGGGTCATGATTCCAGGGTTGTGGGATGGAGCCCCGTGTCAGGCTGTGTGCTGAGCATGAAGCCTGCTTGGGATTCTCTCTCTCTCTCTGGGGAATGATGGCTACTGGGTACACGGTTTCTTCTTGGAGTGATGGAATGTTCTAAACTTGGTTGTGGTGGTTACACAACTTTCCGAACATCCTAAAAGTTGTGGTGGGTGAATTGTATAGTATGTGAATTATATCTCAAATGTGACATTAAAAAAATAAAATTGTAAAGGGGTGCCTGGGTGGCTTAGTCAGTTGAGCAACTGACTTCTTCGGCTCAGGTCATGATCTCACAGTTCATGAGTTCAAGCCCTGCATCAGGCTCTGTGGTGACAGCTCGGAGCCTGGAGCCTGCTTTGGATTCTGCGTCTCCCCATCTCTCTGCCCCTTCCCCACTCGTTCTCTCTCTCCTTCTCTTTCAAAAGTAAATAAACATAAAAAAATGTAAAAAATTGTATCTATAGTGTAATTACAATTATGTGCATGCACATACATCCACAAACTGAGAGACACACCCAGACGACACATATTATTCACACACATGAAGACATACATACGTATCTTAACGGTGGTTATTTATGGGCAGTTAGATTATTGGTGGCTTTTGTCTTTGTCTCAAGGCTTTTATGACTATTTTAGAATTTTCTCCCATAACTGGCATCATTTTTGTAATCAGGAAATAAACAACAAAAGCTGTGTTTAAAGTCTACCGAAAGTCAGCCCTGGAAAGCAGGGAGCCTGGATGAGCTGGAGGAGAGCCAGGTGGCATGCAGTCACAGGTCCCACGTCCCCCCCACAGGGGCCCTGGGGTCCCCCATGGGCGGCGGATGTGAGCACTTACTCTTTTGCAGCACAGCATTTAAAATATATTCCAGTTTCTCTGCGGTCACCTCCATGTCCTGTTGAAGGGGAGACAATTGCTTTTGATGGCCCACAGCGCCTTCTTTGTTAATTGCTTCCGGTTCTGAGCTTGCTTTGGCTCAAGCAACAGCCCGGGCCTCAAGGACTTTGCCGCAGGCCCGTGTGCCTGTGTCATGGGTGACTGCAGCCCGCTGAACTTCTCAGGGGCTCATGCCCATCCCAGAAAGGATGGGAAGACTGGGCAGCGCAAGGCAAGCTTCCCCACTGAGCTCAAGCTCCCTAGGTGCTTATGTCGGAGCACATTTGTGTCCGGGTCTCCAGGCCTCTGTGCAGCAGACCTGCCTGGAGAGTATTAGAAGTGCCCGCACCAGGAGCTCACTGCAGGGACCATTGCAATTGGAAGAGCAGGGAAGGTATCCCATGGATTATTTTCAAATGATCTAGGGTGAATTTCAGAACCACTAATCTAAGGCCATCTGCTCAATGCACTAAATCTCAGCATTGAGGGCACTTAGAAGCTGGGGAGAGATGTGGAGTTCCGGGCCCCGCCCCGCCCTCCTGGCCAGAAAATCTGCATTTTCCCAGGATGCTGAGAGAATGTATCTGTCCATGACTGAGCAGCGCGGACTTAGCGCTCCTTCGGTCCAGGGTTTTGAACCGACATGTGAATCACCCGTGATGTTATTTCCCCACACGCCTGCCCACCCTGGAGCTTAGGAGGCCTGGGGAACGGGATTTGGGGTGTTCAGCCCCACTGGGGAATGGCTGATGTGGCCCAAGCCTCCTCTGGATGGAGCCACGAGCCCAAGTCGCTGGGCCAGTCCGCAGGAGAGCAGGACTGGAGCCCACGAGCTGAATTCTAGCCAGTGCTTTTCGGTCGTGAACAAAGTTTGAAAGAATCTCCTGCAACATCCCTCACTTCCCTTCCAGCTGGGATCTCCATTTCCGGCAACTTCTGTCCCTCCGAAGCTGGGAGGAGGTGCCCACCCAGGCCTGACCTCCAGATGGCATCAGGTGCCAGGCATGAGCCATTCACTCCTTTCCCCACCTGGGCACTCAGCCCCGGAGGGAGAACGGATGGCCACTTTGCCTGCACGGGGCCTCTCTTCTCTCCACCCAGACAGTTGTCCCCAAGTCTCCCTGAGCTCTTGTTTATTACACTGCCCGAAATCCCACCATTACGGCTTTGTTCGACCCCCGGCGTAGGTGTCACACAGGTATTATGACAGAGGAGCCCCATCGAGGCAGGAAGCTAATGCAGTCATTAGCACCTGCCATGAAATGGCTAATCCTATTTATGGCTATAAGGGAACACAGGTGGGGCAGTTTCTAGAACAGAGGAGACCGGCCCGGAGATACCCAGGGGGCCCCTCGAAACAAGCTGACTACTGAGGGACAAGGAATGAAGTCGGGGAGTGGGAGGTGAGAGACAGATCCCCTCCTTCCCCCATGGTCTGGCCCAAGCTGCCAAACCTGGCCATGCTGCTGATGTCACTGGACAGAAGTCACGTTTCTAATTTGATGGTATCTCTCCGAGCAACACCACCGTCCCCCAGAGCAGAGTGAACATTTTGATGGCAGTGGTCTATGGGTAAATCTCAATGAGCCACCTTTTCAAAGCTTTCTCTAGCCTTTCACAGAAAGCCTCTGGGCCGGCAGAGCTCCTTTGGGTGCTATTACCCCACTGACGGTGGTGGACCGGCGTGAGGGGCGGGTGCAGTGGAGGAGGTGGTCCTGAGAGCCCCCCGAGTGACCAGGGCTGGCCTCACGCTGGGATTAGGTCCACCAGGCCTCTGGGAAGTGTGGCAGACAAGCGTCTTCCTGCATCCCCCAGCGGAGAAGACCAGGCCCCAGGGCTCTGCAGGGGATCAAGGCCAAGTGCAGCTTGCAGCCAGCCCTACCTCACCGGCAACTTGTTCAAACAGGGCCCGGAACTGCAGTTCCTCCTCTGTCTCCTGGCCAGCTGGAGTCGGCTTCGGAGGCTAAAAAGCAACCAGAGGAACTCACGTTGGACCCCACAGAAAAGAGACTTGGCATTTGCTTCCCAAATAGCAAGAAATCAAAAGAGGCCCGCCCTGGAGATGGTGCAGCCCTGTGGGAGAGGCTGGGACCTCGCTGCTTAGTGGGGGCCCCCAGAACTGGCCGCTGCTAGCAGCATTTGGAATGGCAGCCTGGGGGCGCCTGGATGGCTCAGTCGGTGGAGCGTCCAACTTTGCCTCAGGTCAAGATCACAGTTTGTGAGTTCAGCCCTGTGTCGTGTTCTGTGCTGACAGCTCAGAGCCTGGAGCCTCCTTCAGATTCTGTGTCTCCCCCTCTCTCTGCCCCTCCCATGCTCATGGTCTGTCTCTCTCTGTCTCTCAATAATAAATAAAAATGTTAAAAACAATTAAAAAAAAAAAAAGGAATAACAGCCTGATTCCTTGTTGAAGGCTCTTCAGAGGGAAGGTCTGGAGGGACTACTTAGTGGGACTTCACTGATGAGAGCGACAAAGGAGGCCAGAATCCTGACGGAGATGGGGTCCCCGCCAGGTCTCCAGGAAGTTAGAATCGAGGTACTTACCTGACCGCAGATAAGCCATTTCCCAAACCCATCTCCCTGCACCTCCTCTGTCTGACCCTCACCACTCTTGACTGTAATTACTCACTTAACCATCTGTCTTGACAGGTGGTAAAATCTCGAGGGCAGAGGTCTCCAGCAGGGAGCCTGGGGCCTCAAGCACGGAAAGAGCTCAGTAAATGTTTTGGGTGTTTTGTCTCGTGCAGATCAGAACTGACTCTGGAAGTGTCAGACTGTTCAGGCTACACCTCAGCCCCTCTGGAATGTCTTACATCCCTTGGACAAGTCTAAAACCCACCCTCTCCGCCCTCCAGCACACGCATCGTCAGGAAGAAGTAACATGTTGCTTTAAGTCCACTGTAAAAGGATCTACTAGCTGCTCTCATTTTCTTCTTATCGATTATTTTTCTTAACTTGAATGCACTTTAAAGACATTTCATCCCCTTCAGAAGCAGCAGCTACCGAACAGAGTGAGTTGGTAGCACAGAGAAAGATCGCTCCAAACAGAGCTTTCTTCTGGGCACCTACCTCGTCCCCATGCCTGGTCCTGGCGGGATATGAAAGACTTAGAAGGTACAAAGCCTGTTCTCCAGGAAGTTAGAATCGAGGTACTTACCTGACCACAGATAAGCCATTTCCCAAACCCCAAAGTTTTGAATGACGCTGTGATTGAAGGAAGTTTTCAGAACAGTCACTGAATCCCACCCTCCAGAGTAACATGAGAAGGCTCACCTCATGAAGGTCAATGTTCACATCTCCATCCATGTCCCTGGTTGGGGGGCGAGGGGAGGCAGAAAACATGCTGGCTTACTTGTGGATTGACTTCCTCCCTAGGATCTGCAGCACTAACGGGAGCCCTGAGGGATTGGAAGGTTCTGGCCCATTGAAGCCCTTCTTTTTCCACGGTGGTTACATTTCACAGGGTCTGAAGACCTCCTGCATTGACTTTTCTCTCTCCTCTATCCCTCAGACCCTTCCCAGCATAAAAATGAGAGGGAAGCAGTGTAGCCATCAGCCGAGGAGAACTTGTAAATTCTGGACTCCGAGAAGTAAAAGAAACTACCAGCTACCACCCTCTATTTCCTGGATGTGCTTTAACAAGGGATATTTATGAAGTGGTTTATAGGATAGCAGAGCCCCGGAGGACCCAAGAGCCAGGCACTTTCCTTACACCCATGAGCTCTACATCCCCAAAGCATATTCAGTTCCCTGGACATGATCATTCAGTCTATTGAGGGTTATTTCTAGGGGAATTGGAAACTATTGTAGAGCAAGTTGGGTCAGAACCAAAAATTTCCCCAGAAGCTTGATCCTTTACCCCTAGCCCCTCCCACCAAGGATATAAATTCTGGCTCCCTCTATGGGTGTCAGAGGTAGGGGTGGGGGCTGTGTGCGTATGTGCTTATGTTTGGGGAAAAGAGTAAAAATAATGGAAATGTTAATTTTTCTGCTCACATATTTAGGGGAACCTATACTGTCTGGAAAGCAATAATATTGAGAGGAGGAGTGGGCTTTAGCTTTTGGTGATCCTAAAACATTTGGAAGACTCCAATCTTACAGTGTAAACTTGAAGCACTCCCCAAGAAAAACTGCTAAAAATTCAAAGGTAATACCAATAATCAAACATTAAAATGGAGCCAGAGTAGAGGGTGCCCAGAACTGGCCGCTGCCGGCAGCATTAGGAACGGCAGCCTGGTTCCTTGTGAAGGCTCTTCAGAAGGAAGATCTGGAAGGACTAATCAGTGGGACTTCGCAGATAAGAGTGACAAAGGAGGCCAGAATCCTGACTGAGTTGGGGTCCTGACCATCCCTCGGGCATGCACAACAGAACCCTTTCAGAACTTCTTAAATCGTTTAGGATCCTCTCAAGAGGACGAAGCCAATGGAAGTAGAGCTTAATGTGTTTCTTTAGTTACTGAGCTACAGAGCTGCTGTTTATGCTTGAGATGGCAGCAGACTAGAGTACTTCGTTCAGAGGCATCTGGGTGGCTCAGTTGGTTAAGCATCTGACTTTGGCTCAGATCATAATCTCATGGTTCATGAGTTGGAGCCCTGCATCAGGGTCTGTGCTAATAGCTCAGAGCCTGGAGCCTGCTTTGAATTCTGTGTCTCCTTCTCTCTCTCTGTCCCTTCCCGCTCATACTTTGTCTTTCTCTCTCTCTCAAAAATAAATAAACATGGAAAAAGAAAGCTAAAGTACTTTGTTCAGGGCAAACTTGAGTATGGACTTAGCTCTGGCATGTGTGAATCTTCTATGGATACCCAGGACTCTGATCTCAGCCCACTGCCGGGGCAGGGAACATAAAGTGTGGGATGGGCACTGCCTGGCTTTCCCTCTCTTGTTATGGCTGCCCACAAAATTGCCAATCTTCACGGCTCTCGTACAGGTGCTTTTGTGTGAACAGATACTGGGAGATTTATCTGGGAGAAGACCGGAGAACAGCTCTCTGGCAGAATTTTTAAAAATTTAAGATCTTATTGCTTCTATTCAGCTGACGAGAAAGAATCACGCCTTCTGTAATCAGCTCGGGAGACCCAGCCAGACTTGAGAACTGGGAATATTCTCAATGCCCGCCACCAATCCAACTCTATCCCACTAAATAGAAGATAAAACTGGAGGCCACAGAGTCAGCACTGACTCCATCTTGTTCTCTCAGGTCGATCCTTAGTTGGAGGTGGACCTGTAGCCCAAATACAGAATTCTCGGCGATCCCTAGAATGTCTCTGTTGGGTAAAGAAGTGGGCACTTGCATCTTGAGCTATTTTTTTTTCCCTCTGCCACGGAACAACTGATGGTGAAAGGGCAGCAACAGGAAAGTTTTTCATAGAGCTATCTGATACAATATAATTTTGCTAAGATGCTGCAAAAGGGAGGCAGCAGAAAGTAGGGTATATAAAATGGAAGGCAGACTTGTGCAAGGTAAGCAGTTGACCATTAGCTTTGTTGATGGTAATGTAAGTGCCTGAATTTACATTTTTGACTGTTCAGGCATCCATTTAAAAGACATCCATCTCAAATAAACATGCCACGAGCTATACAGCTAGATAAAAAACCCAGCCACCCCACCCATGAAGTTCCCTCTTTTTTTAGAAAGCTCTGGTAGACCATTTGATCATTATATCCTTTTCCTTCTGGCATTTTAATTCACCAATAGTGACCCTTTTGAAACTCTAGACTCCTACTCTTGACCTCAATAAAGGCAAAACCCCAAGCCTGTGCTCTCTTGCTCTCTCTCTCTAGTCAAGACATCACTGTGTGGCTCCAGGTGTGCTGTGTACTTCCCAGAACCTGTAAGTAATAAACCTTATCATTTCCAAGTTCCCTGGGTCATTGCTGAGATATGTCTGGCCTCATGGTTGGTTCCGGCTGGGGAAACATCTGTGGGGGCTCACCACAGGTAATACAGGCCCAGATGAGTGCCCTTGGGTGTTCCTAGCTGATGGCATTGTTGTCCCTAGGCTGAGACTGATGACCCCAAACAACTTGACAATATTAACTGATGAAAGAACAGGTCATTCAAGAAACTTTCTAGAAACCTAGAAAGAACAGGTCACTGTAATGGCCACCCCCTTCACCATGCTCAGAATTAAGTCCTAACATTTCTAAATGTGGGTCCCACTCCAGAAGTTTCTTGGGCATAGGGTCTGGAAAATGAAGGGCTCCACCCAAGAGGGTCTGGTGAGCATGATTCTGGAAGTGGTTGGAGGGAGCAGCTTTTCAGTGGCTTGTTTGGGGGAAGGAAGGAACACAACCAACATGGAAATGCATCCTGCTTTGCAAATGGGTTAAGAGACCTTCCTGCCTGATTTCTCAGGTGGGGCGTTGGAGAAGGGAAGAGAGGGGTCAAGGCTCCAACTGTCCCCTGGTGGCTTCTTGGGGACTGAGCCACTAAATAAAGAGGGATTCTTGGACCCGTTACTCACTGGGTGATAATTTTCTTCTCCGTAAAAATCCTCAGGCAGAAATCAGCTTCCTGATGGGGCTCAAAAGTGCTGGGAATCAGGATGTACTCCCCAGGGGGCAGCTGGAAACGGTCCGAGACTTCTCTCAAGTTGATGAACGTTTTGCTTCTGGCCTGGGAAGCATGGTACTTGAAGAAGTCTTTGTTCAGGTGTTCGTCTTTGCGGGGGCTCTGCAATGGGAACGCAAGTGGGTGGTTCTGTAAGGAGGGCCATTGGTCTTGGGTATTCAGACACAGTTTGGGGACTGGCCATTGAGTCTCTGGCATGTGGCCGAGGAGGAGCTGAGAATCCAGCATGTACGTGGTGGACTCTGAAGAGCAGGTTGTTTCCTACCCACCTGGTAAATGGCATAGCCAATGGTCAGCATGTCGGCACCAAACCTCTTGAGTTTCCTTCGATCCTTCTGCATCAGGGCTACAAGGAAAGTGCAGTCCTCCTGTCCCTCGTCTTCCTCAGTCAGGGACAATTTTATTTGTGGATTGGTCCAGAAGGTATCTGCCATTTGAAAGAAGTGAATTATTTTGCCTTCCTTTAGAAAACCACAAAGGACACACACACACACACACACACACACACACACACACACCATCCACCCCTACACATCCTCCCAAACCTGAGAAAGTCATTTATTTCTTCTCTCCCTGTTCCGATGGCTCTCATGCTCTACTTCCCGTAATCCCAGTGAGAATGCCAAGTGCTTTCCCTTTCATTTCCACTTTCTCTTGAACCATTTCCCACAGAGCTTTTAAAAGACATTCTTCTGGGCCTACTCAGCTACAGTTTGTTCCACCTTATTTTGTCCATGTGGTATTTCAAAGGAGAGTGCGGTGCCTTTGGAGTTGTACAATTTGGGCAGAATCCACCCCACTCCCGGCTCCAGGGGTGAACACTGAGTGGTTTTTGCCAGCCCCTGTTGCCTCGGACCATTAGAACAAAGCCAACCAGCTTGTGGCATTCACCAGGCAATATGGGCTCAGGGAATTCCCAGTTAGAAGGGAGTTGAGGACTTTTGTTGGATGACCCTCAGGAGCTCTGGCTGTTTGTGCAAACGAAGGCTCTGAAAGCCCTGGATGCTTCTGGTAGCCCTCCTGTGACTCTAAAGAAATCTAGACTGAGGAAGAAGTCAACAGAGAGAAGAAGGCAGAGCAGAGAATTACAAACCAATGTGTTGATAGAACTATGCCTAAAGCCCATGCTGCTTCTCCTCTGAATTTTGCACTTATATAGGGGGAAAAAATCCCTTTTTATTGCTAAACTAGCATGAATTGTGTTTTCTATTACTTGTAATGGAAAAGAACCCAAGTAGTAAAACAAAAGAGTTTCCTTGAGCAATTTTTTTAAAACCTACTTTTAATGTTTTATTTATTTCTGAGAGAGAGAGAGAGAGACAGCGTGAGCAGGGGAGGATCAGAGAGAGAAGGGGATACAGAATCTGAAGCAGGCTCCAGGCTCTGAGCTAGCCATTAGCACAGAGCCCGACGGGGGGCTCGAACCCATGAACCATGTGATCATGACCTCAGCTGAAGTCAGACGCTTAACCAACTAAGCCACTCAGGCGCCCCATCCTTGAGCAATTCTTATTCAGCTTCTTGCTACTTCTCTGCAGTCCTCACCAGCCATCTCTGAAATCCTACTGTCTAACTCCACACTTCAGGCTTTCTCTAGGGTCCTGGCCCTGATCCACTGACATACCCCAGGTTGGACGGGACACTTTGCAATGACAGAGAGTGACAGGCAGACAACCCACCTAGGAAATTGCGGCAGCCCCCGGCGGTGGAGCCCCGTACCCAGCTTCCTTGATGGACCATCACCTCCCATTTGTGGACAGCATTCTCTTCCAGGGCGTCAGGAGTGAGGTTGCAGATTTCTACTTTGTCAAAGTGGGACTTGAAGTCCCTAAACGCCATCCTGCAACGAGGTGGAGAGACACCAGGGATAGGAGGTGATGGTGATGCCATGATCCACTCATTCGCTTCATCATCTGACTGACCATTAGCGAGTGGCTGCATCTGTCCTCAAGGATGGGGAAGGCTTAGGTGTGGGCAGACAGAAAATGCACAAACAAAGGTAAGGAAAACCCAGAACATCTGTACTCAAAATTCAAGGTAAATATCTAATGTCCAATTTAATAGCTTGTTAATCTCTCAAGCTTGTGGATCCTACATGTTTTCCATAAATTTCTTTGACTTATGACCTCATGGTTCCTGAAGCAGGCCACCAAAGTTCACCCATCAAAATGGAGCCAAGGACTGAAACTCACTCCTTTTATCTAGAGTGGGGTGTAACCAGTGATGTGTGGGTCAAAGCTTTTAGGAAGGGGAGGTGTCTTCTACAACCTTTCTTGTTTTTCTTCTTCTGCTGGCTTCTTGCAAGTGACTGTGTGACCCAGGGGATGGTGGAGCCATATGGAAGAAGGGGGTTGGGTTCCTGAATCACTGCACACAGAGAGTCACCCACAGAATAGGGGTGTCTTCCTGGACTGTTATAACGGGTGAGAGAGAAACTTTATTGCATTTGAGTCTTTATATATACATCTGAGTCTATTTGTGACAGCAGCTGGTAGTATCCCAAGTCATTGGTGCCTTGAAGTATGAAGCCGCCATTACAGAATTCTAAAATATGTGGTATCATATGGGCAGGTTCAAGGAAATATTGGAACTGGAAAATAGATATTCATGTTACAAATGGCAATATATTTGTTAAAACTGTAAAAATGTGGAAGACAGAGGCTGTGCTCTAGAGGAAGAGAATGGGAAAAGCTGGAATATTAATAGGTGTTGGTTTTTGCTTGTTGTGTTTAATAAGGTATAGAAGAAAGAGGTGAGCTCAGGCAATAAATGACTGGTTTGCTCCCGAGGGAATAAAGCTAGAAATCCAGAACTTTTGGTCTTGCGTGATTGGAAGAGCCAACTGTTTTCTGAACCCCACAGGAAGAAATATGATTTAAAAAAAAAGCTTCTAGGGACGAAGGTCTATTAAAAACTTTCAGTTAGGGGCACCTGGATGGCTCAGTTGATGAAGCGTCCGACTCTTGATTTTGGCTCAGGTCATGATCTCACAATTTGTGGGACTGAGCACCACGTTGTGCTTTATATTGATAGTGTGGATCCTGCTTGGCATTCTTCCTCTCTCTCTGTCTCTCCCCCATTCGTGCATGCACTGTCTCTCAAAATGAATAAATACATGTTCATAAAACCTTTCCGTTAAGCAAAGAGATTCCACCCTGTGGAAAGTCCAGACTAGGAATGTTTCGTGCCCACTTCAGTCTATGTTCAGCTCTCAAGGTCACTGCCTTCAGGGGTCCTCATCATCAAGTTGGGCAAGGGAGAAGTCCCTGGGAGAAGTGGGGCTCCCTGCTTACAAATTCACTGTGCAAACTCGGATGATGGGTAGTTTAGGGGAGAAGTGCTGGGCTGCAGACCCAGGCTCAGCCACACTAACTAATCAAATCTCTGCCAACCTGGGCGAATGCAAGGGGTTTGAGACAGATGTATTTGATTGACCAGAGAAATCAAACAAAGACAGAGAAAACCAGCAAGCAAGCCAAGGGTGAGAGGGCACTTTCATACCTGCCATGTAGTTAATACAGAAAGGAAAACAGGCAGGCACTGTACCAGAATTCCCCATCGTCGAGAGCCGTGTGACACAAGCGCTTCTGCTCAGCTGGTCCAACGGAGAGCCACTCGGAGGAACTAAGAGTGAGCAAAGTCAGCCTTTAGGTGGAAGGTCTTGTGCAGCAGCCGAAACAACATTGGCCTTGGCAGAGAGGAGCACCCCTCCTGAGGAGGCAGGATAGTGGCCATGTGGGGACTGACCCTGGTCAGGGACTACTCCTGGGCCCCAGAAGTGTCCCAGGGGACATGGAGGCTGGCTGAAAAGGGAGCATCCAAAGCAGCTGATGGAAAAAGGCCCTTGGGGTCATTTGAAGCCCCTCCATGGGGGATTATCATGGGACCGTCATAGGATGTTGAACACCAGCAGGGTACCAGAAACTTCCAAATGGAAGCCACAAGTGGATTAAAATGTGTGCCCTGGAGCAGCTCTTGACCTGTCCTCTTCATCTGTCAGTGACGTTTTGAAAAGTGATAATAATGCCTTATGTTCACCTGGGCTTGACATTTCACATACCAAACACCTTCTTCACGTGACCTTGGTAAGACCCTGGTGGGGTTCTGGGAGGTACACACCTCAGATTATGGACAAGGGCACTCACGTGGGCAGTTGCCACCTCCAGCCTTGAAATCCAAGAGTTCCACCTCACCTCCAAGTTCACCGTGTCTCTGAGACCCCTGCAGCCACCCCTAGATAGTTCAGGCTAAGTCACCACCACTGTGGTGCTCAGCTGATACTGCCCACCTTGCACACGCCCTGTATATCTTGACCCAGAGGACCCAGAAGGAGCCTGTCTCCAGGTCTTGCTTGCCAGGCTTGGAACAGCAGAACAAAGAGCCATTGTTTTCTTTTTGAACCATTACCTTCCATGGGGTTCACACCCCAATAACGGGCAGACTGGCTAAGGAAATCTTTCAACACTTCCGTCCTAACAGGAGGTCAGGATCAGGGATCAGGATGGGGGTCTGCCCTCCGTCACCCCGAGGCTGAGTGGGAGCGTCCGGCTTTGACCCCAGTAAACACACCCTCCTGATTTCTCCCTCTGTGTGTTTCACAGGAGAAGGCGAAAGTAGCCCTCACCCTTTTACACCGCGTGGTCTCTAACCTGAAGGACACTACGTGTTTATGTGTGATATGAAGCCATCTAGTTCATTTGGGTTTCAGTATTTCTGTGCTTTCCATTTCTGCCAGGAGAGGGAGGCGGGTCTCTTCCCTCTTGTGATGCTGGTTGGGTGTGAATCCATCTCTGCCACAGCTTCCGGGCTCTAAGAAGGCGGGACCAATGGCGGTGGCAGGTGGGGTGACAAGAACAGCAATGGGAGGACTGGCTGCCCCGGGGGCATGTGCTGCACCCTCGGGCTGGGGTCGCGTTAACAGAGACAGACGCGCTGATGACTGTGATGCGGTGGCTTTTCTGTGAGCGGAGGTCACCAGCTCAAGATCTACTCAGGTTCTAGACTTGCCGGAAGTCACCCCAGAACCCCACGAGCTGTGAGTGGGCAGGGCTGGGACAGCAGGACCCCAAGAGAGCAGTGTGGGTAGGCCCTGCCCAAGCACATCTAAACATTCCCTGGTTCTTGTCACCTGGGCCATTGCCCAAGGGACAAGGAGAGGACACACACCTGCAAGGCAGACCTTTCTTTATAATTGGGGAACCAATAAAGAACCCTAGTTGACCGCTCTGTAATAGATGAATTTCCTGTTGCACCTCCTCAGTCGCTCTACTGGGCCTCTGGCCAATGGTCACTGACCAGTGAGAGAAAACTAGCATAACCTGCTTGCAATATTTCAGGGATTCTTACACCCAAAATATGCATTGCCACCCCCACCCCTACCCAACACACACACATACACACCACATATCGAAGCTACCATAATTGGAGATCAAGCCTTTCACAATATCATGGGGATATGTACTATTCCCATGGGAGGGAATACATCCACTGACATAAATACAATTACTGGAAAGTTGAAAAAGATGTTAGAGGGGCGCCTGGGTGGCTTAGTCGGTTAAGTGTCCGACTTTCGCTTAGGTCATGATCTCGCGGTTCGTGGGTTCGAGCCCCGCGTCGGGCTCTGTGCTGACTGCCAGCTCAGAGCCTGGAGCCCGTTTCAGAGTCTGTGCCTCCCTCTCTCTCTGACCCTCCCCTGCTCACGCTGTCTCTCTCTCTCTCCTAGAAATAAATAAAAAAAAAACATTTAAAAAAAAAAAAAAAAGAAAAAGATGTTAGGGGCACCTGGGTGGCTCAGTCGGTTAAACGACTGACTTTAGCTCGGATCATGATCTCGCAGTTCATGGGTTCTGTGCTGACAGCGCAGAGCCTGGAACCTGCTTCAGATTCTGTGTCTCCCTTTCTCTCTGCCTCTCCCTTTCCCTCCCTCCCTCTTTTCTCTCTCAAAAATAAATAAGCATTACAATTTTTAAAGCCATTATAAGGGTTTTCCATTTTGACTGCATGGTGGGCCAGAAGGCTAAAGAGGGAGGAAGTAAGGCCACTCAGAAGCAGGACCCTGAACACAAGTCAGGAGGGAACTGGGAACTGTAGACAAAGAGCCCCTTCCTCATACGTCTGCACAAGCCAGCCCTGGCCCTCTGTGCCCCGGGAAGGCAAGGAGGTGGGGACTGACCTGTCACTCCAGGACCCATTCCACTCAACCTGGCCCCAAGGGTTCCTGACTCTGATGAGCTCCGTTTTCTGGCCTCGGAAGTTTACCTGAAGGGGAGAAACATCAGGGAAATGATAAGTTTACGTGTGAAGTCCAGAGTGCTTCATGTCTAGCCATAGTTGGCTTTACCGAAAGCCTCTTGACTGCGACATGCTAAAGCCATGCCCAAACTCATCAATTCTTAATTGGCCCTTGGAATTTTCTAATTCCTAGTGGACAAAATGGCTAGCATTACCAATGCCGTTATATTAATCACCCCATGATGGTTACCCTCCATCTAGGAAAAAAAGTAGAATTATAAACAACAAGAAATAAGTCCACATGAATCTTCAGATGAACGCGTTTTCTCTCTGGACTGGAGTCACCCTAGAAACAAAGGCCAAGTCATTTATCAGTGTATCCTCAGCATCTAGCACAGCAAGTGGTAAAGAATAGTTGTCAGAAGTGCTCATGGAGTTGTTAGTGAGTTTTCTTCATCCTTAACATCTTACTCACAGATGAATGAAAAGTATATAAGCATACGCTCGGAATTTAAACAATGATAAAAACCACTTGCAAGCCTTCTGAATCCAATCTTCTCCCCACTTTCAGGTGTCGGTAAGGATTTCCACTGTCCATATGGAGAACCCTTGAGCCAGTAAAGAAAGATGATTCAGTCATGGCCTTCAGGCTCTGCCCCGGACCAGGAGAGAGGGCCAGGGCATTTAAAAAGATTTCAGAGGAAAAAGAGTACAAATAAGACTTTTATTCATCAGTGAACCAGAAATGTTAGCTCAAAAAAATAAACAATTGGGACCTCATCAAGATTAAAAGCTTCTTCACGGCAAAGGAAACAATCCATAAAACTAATAGGCAACCGATGGAATGGGAAAAGATAGTTGCAAATGACATATCAGATAAAGGGCTATTATCCAAAATCTATAAGGAACTCACCAAACTCCATACCTGAAAAACAAATAATCCAGTGAAGAAATGGGCAGAAGATATGAACAGACACTTCTCCAAAGAGGACATCCAGATGGCCAACAGACACATGAAACGATGCTCAGCATCCCTCCTCATCAGGGAAATACAAATCAAAACCACACTGAGATACCACATCATGCCAGTCAGAGTGGCTAAAATGAGCAAATCAGAGAACTCTAGATGCTGGCGAGGATGTGGAGAAACGGGCACCCTCCTACACTGTTGGTGGCAATGTAAACTTGTACAGCCCCTCTGGAAAACAGTGTGGAGATTCCTCAAAAAATTAACAGTAGAACTCCCTCAGGACCCAGCAGTAGCACTGCTAGGAATTGACCCAAGGGATACAGGAGTGCTGATGCATAGGGGCACATGTACCCCACTGTTCATAGCAGCACTCTCAACAATAGCAAAAACATGGAAAGAGCCTAAGTGTCCATCAAAGGACGAAAGGATCAAAAAGATGTGGTTTAATCCATACGATGGAATACTACATGGCAATGAGAAAGAATGAAATCTGGCCATGTGTAGCAACATGGACGGACCTGGAGGGTGTTATGCTGAGTGAAATAAGTCAGGCAGAGAAGGACAGATACCATATGTTTGCACGTATAGGAGGATTAGGAGGAGCTTAATGGAGGACTGTGGGGGAGAAGAAGGGGGAAAACAGTGGGGGAGAGGGAGGGAGGCAAACCATGAGAGACTCTTAAATGCTGAGAACAAACTGAGGACTGATGGGGGGGAGGGGAAGGGGGTGATGGGCGTGGAGGAGGGCACTTGTGGGGATGAGCACTGGGTGTTATATGGAAACCAGCTTGACAATAAACTATTAAAAAAAAGAAATATTAGCTCAAAACTCTTTACCCCCACGCATTGGGCACAAATTATATTTTTGATGTGTAAAAATTAAGTTAATGTAACCTCTCAAGGGTCTAAGATGCTGCTAGCAGCTCATTATTTAAGATGTTCATTAAGAGAAATGTTCAGGGAAGGTAAATCCCTTACAGGTGGAAAGGAAAAGCAACTGGACAGATGTGATGAAAGGTTTCTGTTACTTGAAATAATATTTGGAAGATGTGACATTAAAAATCATGTGCCAAAAAGAAAAAATCACCTTCCTTCCCAAGTGGGTGATTGGCATGGCATTATGAGTGGGAAGGAGGAGGTAAGAAGCCCATGCAAATAGTTTCAATTCTAAAGAACCCAACTGTATCCCCCAGTGAGGAGGAAGGGCAACCTTCCTTCCTTCCCACTCTTCTGGACTGGGTTTCTCAAAACATGGGTGGTAACAGAAGGAGACCAGAATGTGCCAGTGTTCTCTATAAACTGGGTTTGAGACTTGTGCAACAGAAGCATGAAGTGGGCAAAGATAGGCCTTTGGACCTCACTGAACTTGAACATGAGAGGATACAGCCCTTGGCTTCTTGTCCCCCCCTTCCAGCTCATCCCCTTCCTTTCTCTTTCCCACATGCCCCTCAGGAGCTTTTGTGCAAACCAAGCCCTCCCTAGAAGTCAGGGTGTGTGCCGATGCGTCTGGCAGCCCCTGGGAATCAGTTCCACCTTGGACTATAGCCGCAGAAAATAGGACTTTTGATGGTCAGTTTTATATGTCAATTTGACTTGGCCACTGGTGCCCAGATATTTGGTTATACACCATTTTGGGTGTGTCTGTGAGGGTGTTTTCAGAGGAGATTAGCATCTGGATCAGTAGACTGAGTCGAGCAATCAGCCCTCCCCAGGGTGGATGGGACTCATCTAATCAGCTGAAGGTCTGAATAGCACTATAGAAGGTGGAAGAAGGGGACAATTCACTCTCTGTGTCTGACTGCTGCATTGGGACTTCCATCCTCTTCTTCTCTGACACCAGGACTTGTACCATTGGTTCTCCTGGTTCTCAAGCTTTTGGACTTGGGGCTAGAACACCATCACCAGCTTACAGATGGCAGATCACAGGGCTTCTCAGCCTCCATAATCATGTGAGCCAACTCCTCCTCATCTATCTATCTGTCTATCTATCATCTATCTATTTATCTATCATCTATCTTTTAAAATTTTTTTCTAAGTTTATTTATTTATTTTGAAAGAGAGAGAGAGAGAGAGAGAGAGAAAGCATGAGCTGGGGAGGGGCAGAGAGAGAGGGAGAAAGAGAATCCCAAGCAGGCTCTGTACTGTCAGCACAGACTGTGAGATCATGAACTGAGCCAAGATGAAGAGTTAGACTCTTAACTGACTCAGCCACCCAAGTGCCTCTCATCTGTCTATATCTTATTGGTCCTGTTTCTATACAGAACTCTGACCAGTACAGGACTAATGTAGAATTAGGGAAGAAAGAGAAGAAAAGAAAAGAAAGGAAAAGAAAAGGAAAGGAAAGGAAAGAAAAGAAAAAAGAAAAGAACAAACAAAGCCCAGGCTCTCACACCAGCTAAACAAGGTTGGTACTCTGGTGGACTCACATGTTTCTCTCTCTCTCTGTCTCTCTCTCTTCTGTTTTGCTCTTTTGGATTCCAGCCTTCCTCCTTTAGATGAGACATTCTCGAAAGTGTCTGAAAGTGTGGTTTAAACTGTGATGGCCCAAGGGTTGCCTCAATATTCACAAATCAATCAATGTGTTACATCACATTAATAAGAGAAAACATAAGAACCATATGATCTCTCAATAGATGCAGAAAAAGCATTTGATAAAATACAGCATCCATGCTTGATAAAAACCCTCAAAAAGGAGGGATAGATGGAACACACCTCAACATCATAAAGGCCATATATAAAAGACACACAGCTAATATCATCCTCAGTGGGGAAAAGCTGAGAGCCTTTCCTCTATAGTCAGGAACATGGCAGAGATGTCCATTCTCACCATTACTATTTAACATAGTACTAGAAGCCTTAACCTCGGCAATCAGACAACAAAAAGAAATAAATGGCATCCAAATCGGCATGGATTGGATTTCACTATTTGCAGATAGCATGATACTCTATGTAGAAAACTTGAAAGACTCCACCAAAAAATTTCTAGACTTGTACATGAATTCAGCAGTCACTGGATATAAAATCAATGCGCAGAAATCTGTGGCATACACCAATAACAAAACAGCAGAAGAAGAAATCAAGGAATTGGTCCCATTTGCAATCGCACCAAAACCAGTAAAATACCTAGGAATTAACCTAACCAAAGAGGTAGAAGAGCTGCACTCTGGAAACTATAGAATAGTTATGAAAGAAACTGAAGAGGACACAAAGAAATGGAAAAGCATTTCATACTCATGGATTGGAAGGACAAACATTGTTACAATGTTTGTACTACCCAAAGCAATCTACACATTTAATGCAATACCTATCAAAATACCACCAGCACTTCTTGCAGAGCTAGAATGAATAATCCTAAAATTTGTATGGAACCACAAAAGACCCTGAATAGCCAAAGCAATCCTGAAAAAGAAAAACAAAACGGGAGGCATCACAATTCCAGATCTCAAACTATATTACAAAACTGTAGTCATCCAGACAGTATTGGGACAAAAACAGACACATAGGTCAATGGAACAGAATGGAGAACCCAGAAATGGGTCTAAAACTATATGGTCAACTAATCTTTGACAAAGCAGGAAAGAATATGCAATGGGAAAGACAGTCTCTTCAACAAATGGTGTTGGGAAAACTGGACAGCAACACGCAGAAGAATTAAACTGGACCACTTTCTTACACCATACACAAAAATAAATTCAAAATGGATACAAGACCTAAATATGAGACAGGAACCCATTAAAATCCTAGAGGAGAACATAGACAAAACCTCTCTGACCTTGGCTGTAGCAACTTCTTACTAGACACATTGCTAGAATCAAGGGAAACAAAAGCAAAAAAGAACCACTGGGGCTTCATCAAGATAAAAAGCTTCTGCACAGGAAGGAAACAATCAACAAAACTAAAAGGCAACCTATGGGAGAAAATATTTGCAAATGACATATCTGATAAAGGGTTAGTATCCCAAATCTATAACAATTTATAGATTTCTATAGATCTATAGATTTCTTAGCTGGGTTAACTGGGTTATGGATAACCCAGTTAAGAAATGGGCAGAAGACATGAATAGACACTTTTCCAAAGAAGACATCCAGATGGCTAACAGACACATGAAAAGATGCTCAACATCACTCATCATTAGGGAAATACAAATCCAAACTATAAGGAGATACCACCTCATAACTGTCAGAGTGGCTAAAATCAACAACACAAGAAACAACAGGTGTTGGTGAGGATGCGGAGAAAGGAGAACCCTCCTGCACTGTTGGTGGGAAGCAAACTGGGGCAACCACTCTGGAAAAGAGTATGGAGGTTCCTCAAAGAACTAAAAATAGAACTATTGTATGATCCAGCAATTGCACTGTCAGGTATTCAACCAAAGGAAAGAAAAATACAGATTTGAAGGTGTACAGGCACCCCAACGTTTATAGCAGCATTATCAACAATAGCCAAACTATGGAGAGATCCCAAATGTCCTTCGACTGATGGATGGATAAATAAGATGTGATATATATATTCCACACACAATGGAATATTACTCAGCCATCAAAAAGAATGAAATCTTGCCATGTGCAATGATGTGGATGGAGCTAGAGAGTATCATGCTAAGTAAAATAGGTCAGTCAGAGAAAGACAAATACCACATGAGTAGTTCACTCATATGCGGAATTTAAGAAACAAAACAGATAAAAATATGGGAAGGAAAAAAAGTGTGTGGGAAACAAACCATATGAGGCTCTTAACAATAGAGAACAAACTGAGGGTTGATGGAGGGAGGAAGGTGGGGGGATGGGCTAACTAGGTGATGGATATTAGGGAGGGCACTTGTTGTGATGAGCCCTGGGTGTTGTATGTAAGTGGTGAATCACCGAATTCTACTCCTGAAACCAATATTGCATGGCATGTTAACTAAAATTTAAGTTAAAAACAACAAAATTTCAAACCCTTGAAGTCATTGGTAGTCAGAAAAATACAAATTAAGCAACAATGTAATATCACTTCATACTCATTTGTTTGGCAAAATGTAAAACCATCTGTTGGCAGAAATTTGAGGTGAAAATCTAATGCATCTGCTGGTGGAATTGTAGGGTGTTACCAACCATTCTGGGGAGTAATCTGGCAATATTTAGTCAATTAAGTACATGCGTCAGATCCAGCAATCCTACCTCTGGGCATGCATCCTCCAAAAGGTTTTGTCTAAGTGTCTAAGGCAACATGTTAAAAAGAAAAAATATGTAATAGGATGCACTAAATAAGTAAAACGGACTAGCACTGCCAAGTCTATTCCTGAACACTGTCCACAGGGTTCACATCGCCTACCTGGTCAATTCCCGTCACAGTGTAGGCATGGCCCTTAATGAGACCAAAAGGTGTCCGGGCTTCAGATTCTGTAGCATTTCGGATCTGGAACATGAAAAGAGCACCATTGGACCCTTGGGTACATCAAGACTTCCCTCCCTGCCCAGACCCAGGTCTAGGCTGGGGCTGGCCCCTTCGAGCCATATGCCTGAGGCATATAACATAGATCCATAGGACAATCGTAAGATGGCTAGCAGTGACATACAGCAATTCCCAGTCTCGTCCCGGGGTGAGGAGACCCTGAATCCAGTGAAAAGTTCAGATTTTGCCTCCAAACAGAGCAGCTTGACCGCCCCCATCATGTAGCACGGCAAAGATAGAAGTAAGATCCTATACGCCAGAGAGAGGATAACCGGCATTTAACGGTATACAACTCTATGTCACACGCCTGAAAGTGGACAAAATGGGCAATTTAGTAGCAAAGAATACCTTCTCAAGGTTAGTCCTAGAGGAAACAGAAAACTTGAAGAGGACTCTAAAAACCAGATGAGGTAAAATTACATGTGCATAAGCTTCCGCACAGGAAGATACTAGAAAACAACTGTCAAGAGTCCTATCTACGGATATGATTTTTAAAATGATATATGAAGTAAAACAAACAAACAAACAAACAAATTTCAGGAAAGTATATGGGGTGCCTGGGTGGCTCAGTCGGTTAAGTGTCCGACTTCAGCGCAGGTCATGGTCTCACAGTTTGTGGGTTTGAGCCCCGCGTTGAGCTCTGTGCTGACAGCTCAGAGCCTGGAGCCTGCTTCAGATTCTGTGTCTCCCTCTCCCTCTGACTCTCCCCTGCTCACGCTTCTCCCTCTCTCCCAGAAATAAATAAAACATTAAAAAATTTAAACATTTTTTAGGAAAGTATATAGTAAGATTCCATTTAGTAAAATCAAACCAAACTTCTCCCATGGGTGTGTATATACATGCATGCCTGTGTGTACGAAGAAGGAGTGAAGTGTGAAGGTCACACGTCCATGTCACAGGGCTGGGATTTAGGGAGGGAGATAGGGATTTGCCTTTAGAGATCTCAGGATTGTTCCACTTGATACAGTAAGTGTGCCCCAACTTCGTAATTTGAAAAGCATTAAATTAAAACTTTCGTTTTAATGAAAATAAATAAACATTAACACCCCACCCCCCACCTGCCTGAAAGTTATGTTCTTCCTGATACGGGGCCAGGGCACCCGGTCCAGACAGTGGTGGGTATGTGAACAAGCCAACGAACGACTTACATCAATGGAGCAGCCCACAAGAGAGCCCCTTTTCAAGGCCTTCTCTAGAATCTCATAGAAGTTCTCTGGAGCCTCTTTAGTTGCGAAGGTCTCTGCTACACCCCCCGTGAAGTCTTCCATCGCTTCGATGGCGCTGCCTCCCTTCAGAGCCTCATAGCTACCATTCAGCCTGTAAGGGCGGCAAGGAAGCAGGGACACTGTTGCAGGGAACAAGAATGGCCACCAGGTGGCGCGCGTTGGCCAGAGATTTTTCTAACTTGTACGCGCCATCCTCCATAGCCTTACCCTGGCTGTGTGGAATGGGAGGAAGATGGGAAGCAGGCATGGGAATTTACTTGGAGCTCCAAGAATCCTGGCTTTCTGTGAGTCAGGCAGTGTGCTGTGGTGGTAGAGAGCAGGGACTCTGGCCTCTGACCGGCTGCGGGTTCAAGTGGTGGATTCACAATTTACAAGCTGAGCGCTCTGGGGATAACTCCCTTACCCAATGCTTCTGTTTCCTAATTGGCAAAATGGGGGTGATGGGTGTATGCTCCCCCCCAGGACTGCTGTGAGGTTTCAGTGAGTCTCTTTCTCTCCTTCCCTCCCTCCCTCCTTCTCTCTCCTCTTACACAGAACAGGGCCTGACCACGAAGGTGTTAGTTATATCCAGACTTGAGACAAAGTTGAGGATCTTTCTCTTCCTTTCTGGTCTTGCATAATCCCAACCTTTTTTTCTCGTAGTTGTATTTTTTTATTAATATAAGTATGTCTGTAAATATACACATACATATGTTTGTATATATATACACACATACATATATTTACATATATATAACACACACATACACATACACACGCATATAGGCATTCTCCTTGAATTTTAAAATAAACTTTCCCATTTAAAACAGTTTCAGATTTATAAAAAATTGTAAATAGTACAGAGAGTTCCCATCTACCCCCACCCATCTGCCCCTACTGTTAACATCTCACATTACACTTGTTACCAGCGACTGAACCTGTACATTATTAGTAAGTCCCTACTCTCTTCTTAGTTCTTTAGTTTGTAGCTAACATGCTATACCATCCAAGATATCACATCACACTTAGTCTTCATGTCTCCGTGGCTGTGACTCAGTGTCTCAGACTTTCTCTGTTTTCCACGACCTTGACAATTTTGAGGAATACCGTCGGGGATTCTGTAGAATGTCTCCAATTAAGATCTGTCTGTTGGTTTTCTATTGATTAGATTGGGGTTATGGGTTTGGGGGAGGAAGACCACAGATGTAAGGTGTCCTTCTCATCACATTACATCCAGGGGCCATACTGTCATCATGACTTATCGCGGCCTATGGTGCCTTGACCACCTGAGTGAGGTCATGTCTGTTAGGTTTCTCTATGATAAAGTTACCCTCTCTCCCCCTGTCCACGCCCTCCCCTTTGGAAGGATGCCATTATGTGCAGCTCTCCCTTAAGGAGCCAGGGTTTTGCTCAGCCTTAGATTACTTGCAATTCTTCTACATGGTAGATTTCTTCTTTTCTCCAATGTATTCATTCAGTCATTTGTTTATATCAGTACGGACTCATGGATATTTACTTTGTATTTTGGCTTGTAACCCAATACGACTTTACTTATTTTGTTGTTCACACTGTTCCAGCTTTGGCTACTGTCAGCTTCTTCAACTGGTTCCTGTGTCCCTTTGACACAACCCCATCAGTGTGTGTGTGTGTGTGTGTGTGTGTGTGTCTAAAACATGTTCTCACTTCTTATTACTACAAGATGCTCTAGGCTCATCTTATGAATTTCCCACGCCAGTCCTACAATCAGCCTTATCTCCAAGGAGCCCTGGTTCCTTTGATTGGAAAATGGTATTTAGAGACCAAGACCCGAGAAGTAGGAGTGCTTGTTGCTACGGGGTTGCCATTCTTTCTAGGCCGTCTCTGCTGACAAAGTGGGGGGAAAATGTACGAACACTGACCTGATATATATTCATATATCTTTATGGGACCATCTCTATTAAACAAGACGTGAGTTCAGCCTGAGTCTCCAGCCCTAACCCATGGCAGCAAACATTATTCCAGCCCCCTCCCTTTGCTTCTTAGTAACCTCCTCTCCAACTGTGAGAAACTTAGCTCGACCACCTGCCTTATGTTCAATTCACAATCATATATACATGTGTCATATATTATATATGAAACATATATATTAGGAAACATATATGATAAATGTACATATGATGTATAATATATGTGTGATAGACACACACAAACGCACACAATTATAATTATACATATAATTATAATGGTATCAAAATTGTTGTCCTGTGCCTCTATGAGAAACAACGTTATCAGCCTGAGTAGAATGCTTGTGTATAATTCCTCTTGCCTTTAATCTTACGGACCCCACTCACCTCCACTGTTACTCAGGTTAGCTCCTTTTCCTCCTATCCCTGCAGTGAGTTTGTTTCATAAATATGTGATACAGTCAGATGAAATGCTTAGCCTGCATTTCATCCTGGGCTTCCTCATCCTTCTCAATGATTTTTAAATCTTCTTGTATTAAGCTTCATTGTGCTGTGAAGTGTTATGGGTTTGATAGATGAATCGTGTCATGTATATACTATTACAGCATCATACAGAATAGTTTCACCACCCTAATAGTTTCATCCCTTGTGTTCCACACATTCATTCCTACTCCTCTCCTTCCCTCCCCCTGAACTCCTGGCAACCACCGATCTTTTTATTGTCTCCATAGTTTTGCCTTTTCCAGAATGTAATATAATTAGAATCATATAGCATGTAGCCTTTTCAGATTGGCTTCTTTCATTCAACAATATGCATTTAAGATTCATCCATTACTTTTCATGGCTTGATAGCTCTTTTTTTTTTTATCACTAAATAATGTTTCGTTGCCTGACTGTACCACATTTATTTATCCATTCGTCTTGAAAGATATCTTGGTTGCTTCCAGTTTTTTGCAATTATGAATAATGGGGCCAAACACATTTGTGTTCAGGTTATTGCGTGGACCTAAGCTTTTATCCAACCATTTGGGTCAAAATGACTTTTTACCCGACTCATCTACCAAGGAGTGTGATTGATGATTCATTAGGTAAGAGTATGTTTAGTTTTGTAAGAAACTGCCAATTTGTCTTCCAAAATGGCCGAACCATTTTGTGTTCCCACCACCAACGAATGAGAGTTTCTGTTGTCCCACATCTTTGTCAGCAATTGGTGCTGTGTGTGGTGGTATTTTGCTATTGTTTTAATTTACAATTTCCTAATGACAAATGATGTTGAGCATCTTCCTGTGTGTTTATTTGCCATCCGTCCATCTTTTTTGGTGAGGTGTATCCCAATCAGTTTTGGCTTCTTTTAATGACCAAAAACTGAACAAAGATTTTCTTTTTAGGAAACTTATTCTTCACTCTTTGAGTGAATGCCCTTCATATTCTACTGACTCCTACCAGCTGGGATTCCTGACCCAAAGCCTTTTCCAGGGCTGCTGGGGGAGGATTTCCCTGTGCTGGGCTCACTGAAAATGAAGCTATGACCAGCCAGCCCTGGAAGACACAGGATCTGGTCCCAGAGAGGATCCTGCCAAGGTCTCCTGACAGGGGACTCACCGTGGGACAGAGCTGGGGCTGGGTTGCCTGGCTGTGCCTGTGTCCCTTAGCCCACCTGAAGCCTGTCTGGTGGCTCTATGGGGGGTATGCACAGACCTAAGTGGAGCAGATGGGCAAGACGCGAGGGTAGTACATCTTTGGTTCTTCTTTGATGGTTTTAATTCTGTCCTGTTGATTTCAGGATTATTCCCATGGCTTGAAGATCCAGGATGAGCCCAGGAGGGACTTACAGGGGAGCCCTGCTGTCAGGTAAGCACGAAACTCAGGCTGACAAGCTGGTGGGCTGGAAATCAAGAGTGCTGGAGGGAACTAAGGCCATGTGATAGATGAATAAAAGCGACCATCTGGATTCCACTTCCCTGAGCTTCCTCAGGTAGTTAAAGCCACAGAGTCAGAAATCAGCATGGTGGTTGCCAGGGTGGGGAGATGAGGATCGGGAGTCAGAGGTTAATGGGTGCAAAGTTTCAGTTCTGGAAGTCCTAGAGATGGATGGGCGCGGTGGTTGTACAATAATGTGAATGCACTGAATGCCACAACTGCACCATATGTCAAAAATGATTAAAATGGTAAATTTTACCACAGCCCAGATGTTTGAGATGTAACAGTGTTTGGTGGGAAGTCGGAGGAGCCAAGTTCTGTCAACACATCCAGAATTTCTTCTGCCTACCTTCCTAGCTCTTTGCAAGGCCAGATTCATGACACAGGGAGAGAAGGGGGACATGTGTCACCACCATGCCCAAGGATGGGCAGAGCTAAGCCGTGACAGGAAAACTGTCCACACTGTTCTTTTTCCACCTCCAAGCCTGACCGAGCCCCGGGTGGGTTGGCCCCACCAGGCCACATCTGTGAACTCCGTGTCCCTGTTCACTGAAGCTCTTGGAAAAGGCCCCGGGGATGGAGACCCACTTCCTGGACAAGCCTGGACTCTGGCCTGCCTGTGTGGGGTGGGAGGGAGCACTCACTTGGCATAGGCTTTTTCCAGCAGAGCACTCCAGAACTCTCTGTGGTCAGCAGAGTGGAGGAAGATCAGGCGGTCCCTGAAGGTGGGCAGTCGGTCATCGATGACCACATCCAGCCATTCGCTGTGCTGCCAGAACTGTTGGCCAGATGGAGATAGAAACCATGGGGGTGAGGCACGGGGGAGGTCCAGCCCCATCTGTAAATGCTTGGCTCTTTCTCCCTCACTTGGCTCCCTTGGCTCATTCTCCCTCTGACCAAACCGCCCTTACAGTCTTGAGGAAAATCACACATGAGTTCCATGACAGGGTCTCCTTGGCTTTGTCCACCAAGCATCCCACCCCATTGCTGACATCAGCTTGAAGAAAGACCCAGGGTCGACCCATCGAAGCCAGGGTCACACGTGGACACTATAGGGAGAGCTGAGTTAGCTCCTCTCTCACAAGCGAAGGGGGTGGCGTGGGGTTTGCTCTGCTCCTGCACAGCTCGCTTCTCTATGTCCTTCTATCAACCAGTTGCAGGCTGTCTTGGATGTTCCTGCATCTTGAGTTGCCTCCTTGCCCAGGAGTGGAAACTCTTAAGACTGATCGTTTTTGGCCAGTCACACACAGAGTCTGCAGTGAGGCACACTCGTGCCAGGTGTGCAGACACGAGGTGAGGGTGCGTGCACCTGTATGCACGTGCGCATGTGTTCTTGTGGGCTCACATGTGTACCTGTAAGCGGGTCCGTGTACCTGTGTGCACATGTTCACATGTATGCACGTATTTGTGTGCGTGCATGTACACGTGTGCGTGTGTATGTGTGTGCGTGTGTGGGTGGGTGTGTGTTCCTCAAAAGGGCACTGGAGTCAGAACTCAGATTGCCAGCCTTGGGGGCCGAGGGCACAGGGCTGGCCCAGGCGTGCTGGCCTGTGAGCGGAAGGTGGCCATGCAGGGGACAGAAGTGTGTGCCTGCCCCGTGCTGCCTCCTTCATGGGGTCCTTTTAGTTCTGTGAACACCCCACGAGCTAGATATCAGTACTTGTTTTTCCAGAAAGCTTGTGAAGACTGGGGTCCCTAGGAAATCTGCATGAGGTCACCCACATATGTACACGGAAGGGCGGGCATCCGTGTGTGGTCGGCTGTGCACAGGGACTACGGGTCGGGGAGAAGACAGGGACCAGGATGGAGAGAAAACTGCACACTGACTCCCAGGCAGGCCGTGCCCACGTGAGGCTCTGCAAGGGTCCCACGGGGACAACGTGGGTCCTGCCGGGATCCCGGTGGGTGATGTCTCAGTGCTTCTCCGTTTCTATTTCTTACCCTCACGCACGTCTCCAAATCTGTGTTTCTTCAATAAGGAGAATCTCTCAGTTTATGAGAAATAACCCAGTCCCTGAGAGATGTAACTGTTTCAGGCCATTTCTGCTAAACGCACAAGATATTCCAGAGATGAAAACCTGTAGCGTGGACCTGCGGACTTGCCAAAGTTTTACTGGATATTTTCCGGATGCGGTCCTTCTGGTGCATTTAGAGGTTATCCCTTGACAAAGCCCAGCTTGGGGTGCGGCTTTCTTCCCGATGGGGGCACATTCCTCCCAGGATCACCAAGCAGTTGAAAAGGCACGTGACGTCATGCTGGACCCCCAAAGAGCTAGCTCTACCAGCCAAGGCCCCCTCTTACCTGGAAGTGGAATATCCCGGCATACCCGGGCCCAAAGCTTTGGTCCTGGGGGACGACTCGAGCCAGAGCTTTTTCATTAAGCGTCAGGGAGGCAATGGCAGCTAATAGCCAGCAGTCGCCTGTGAAATGAAAGCCATAAATCACGGTTTTCAGCGCCCAATTCACAGTAAATTGGAAAACTCTATGCCAGAAGGAGAAGTGGGGCGTTCCAGATGTGGCCACGTCTTTTCCGCATCTAAGGAAATGGACAGAAAACTAACAAATGTCTCTGTCCTCCTCTCCTGCTTCCCTTCCTGGCTCTCCCCTCACCCGGTTTATGACACACAGCTGTTGTTGCCTGGCCAATGTTATAGGATCCGCTCACTTGGGTTTCAGACATATGCTCCATTATGCATCAGCTTTTTGCAATTCCAGAGACTTCCCCTCCAGAGGGCGAAGCCTCCATATGTTAGTGTCAGCATGCGCTGGGTAAATAGGCAATTCAAGAAATTGGGGGACCCTCAGCCACAGCCCTTGCAAGTGCCTGGAGGGTATATCTCTGGGACTGATGCCTCCCCACAGCCCAGACTCAGTTTAGTTAGAGATAACAGTAGCTCCAATTATTTTTCATTGTCAAGACTTGCTGACTCATCTACTGATTTCTGCAGCTACGTCTTCGTGTGAACACACATTTAGAGGACAGCTCCAAACAGAAGTCAAACCTCAGTCAGTATTGACCTGTGTTGTACGAGACTAACAGACTCAGCCACTTGCCCTCGTTGAGGATGGAATGAGCCCCTTATCATTGCTGCTTAGGAACTAGGTGTGAGCATATACTTGGAAGTATCCATTTAACCGACAGGACCCCTCTGTTTTCTCCCAGATCTATTTGTCTGACATAGATAACACCACCATCGTGGGAATTCGAGACCCCGTCGCACTCAGTCTGGCTTCCTTGGGGTTCACATTTCTGGAAAATACCATATGCCACATGCCCCCTTTCTGATTGTTATGCTTGGCGGGAGAGACTCACAGAAGGTGTAGCATCTAGAAAACTACACCCATGGTCACTCTGCTTCTGCTTTCTCTACAGTGTCCAGCAGGGGGCACATGCCACTTGTTTCTAAAGCACCAGCGGCTCTCTGGCTTTGGGGAGATGCTAATGAGAAAGGACACAGAATCACTTGTTCAGCAAGCTTCACTGAGTGCCTCCCGGGTGGTGGTTCCTGGTTTCAGCTCTGGGGTCTGGTGGCGGAGCCAGAGTCTGGTGGAGGGGCCACTGCAGTGGGCTGACTTCCTCCCCCATCTTCTCCAAGTTTTGGCTTTGCCTAGTGTAGGAAAGTGTGTTTCTTTTCCTGAAAGTGCTGCAGATCAGGTCTATTTAGCCAGGAAAGCCCTGAGCTTTTGAAGGAGGAGATTCAGAAGCTGGTGGTATTCATACAATGTAAACCAAAGGAGAAAACTCAATAGCAAAGCAATATTGCTTTGTCTCTGCTGGGCCTGTATGGATACATGGTATTGGTTATCCCAGCGCTGTGCCCAGAAAAGGGTACCCGCTGAAGGTCAGTTTGTCTGGCAGCTGGATGGACAGACAATAGCAGGCAGGAGGCTGCTAGCAGGGAGAGGTGGGTGATGGTGTTGGTGATGTTCTAGCTCTTATTTCTGGTGGCAGACTCACAGTTGTTTATTTTATTCTTAGCTCTCATAGCCCAAACATATATCAAGTACTAGGAAATAATAAAAGTGTTATAAAATAATAGTTACAGGGGAGGCGGGGTGGCTCAGTTGGTTAAGCATCTGACTACAACTCAGGTCATGATCTCATGGTTCGTGGGTTCGAGGCTTATGTCGGGCTCTGTGCTGACAGCTCAGAGCCTGGAGCCTGCTTCGGATTCTCTGTCTCCCTCTCTCTTTGCCCCTCCCCAACTCAGCTCTGTCTCTCTTTTTCTCTCTCTCTCAAAAATACATAAACATTAAAAAAATAAATAAAACAAAATTATGGTTACAATCAACACAAGCTAAGGTTAAATATACAGTTGAAATTCCAAATTGATGTTTGCGCTCCTGTGACAAACCAAAACTTTGAAACACAAAGAAGATTGTTCGATGCCTTTCTGGGGGGGCTGCAGTGAGGGGAGGCAGAGTAGGATTTGAGGGCTGAGGTGAGAGAGCAGATGAGGAAGGGACAGGTGGAGTCTCTCAGAGAAGACTTACTTTCAATAAATGAAGACCAATCTGAATGTAAATATTTTCAGGTCAAAGTTATAGGTAGGATGTATAATTCTATCCTCTATGTACAGTTGATCCTTGAACAACATGGGGGTGAGAGGCACCGATCTCCGGCACAGTTGGGAATTCACATATAATTTTGATCCCCCCTAAACTTAACAGCCAGTAGCCTGCTGTTGACTGAAGGCCTTAGTGTTAAGTCAATTAACACATATTTTGGATGTTATATGTATTCTGTACTGCATTCCTACAATAAAGTAAGCTAGATGGGTGCCTGGGTGATGTGGTCGGTTAAGCGTCCAACTTTGGCTCAGGTCATGATCTCACAGTTTGTGGGTTCGAGCCCCACATTGGGGTCTGTGTTGACAGCTCAGAGCCTGGAGCCTGCTTGAGATTTTTGTGTCTCCCTGTCTCTTTCTGCTTCTCCCCAGCTCATGCTCTGTCTCTCTGCAATGTTAAATGTAAACATTAGAAAAAAAATTAAGTAAGCTAGAGAAAAAAATGTTAGTAAGAAAATCATGAGGAAGAGAAAATCCATTGGCAGTACAATACTATATTTATACCTAAAATCCATGGGTAAGTGGACTCATGTTGTATCATCTATCTCTCTTTGTATCTATCATCTATCTGTGTATCTATCTATCTATCTATCTATCTATCATCTCTCATCTGTCTATCTACCAACTATCATCCTCTGGGTTCACTGGGGTTGGTGGGTCAGTGACATGGGCAGCTATAAACCCAGGCCTCATAAGCTTGCAGCTCCACCGGTAACTTTTTTTTTTTTCCATAAATTTTGGACTAAATCCTGAAATGCAAGATCCAGGTTAACTGACTTGGGGGACACCCTGAGGTCAATTGGAGGAAGGAGATTGTTAAACTCTGGGGAGGTGCCCCAACGTCTGAGCCCCTGGGGGGCAGAATGGTTAAGAGCAAGTTCAGATCCTGACTGCCTAGCTATTGCTCCTGTGACTCACGTTACTTAGCCTCCCTCAGCTTCGGGTTCTCATCTACAAAATTGGAAGGGTCACTGGGAAGATGATATGGTCACGAGTTAATGCATGCAAGGATTCGCTGTGTCGTGGTGGAGGGAGCCAGACCAGTGTCACTGGACATCTCTGTTCTCTGTAAAGTCCTGGGCCGTGAGCCCCACACTTGAGGCACATCTCCCCCACCCCGCTGGGAACAAGAGTACAAGGAGCCTGGAGTCCCCTGGGGTCCATCTGGGGGCACAAACGGGCAGACTGGGAGGGAGGAGACGAGGAAGCAGCAGGTGGTGGCAGTGATGTACCCCAGCCCCCTGTCCCTTGGGTTTCCAGAGCCCTGTGGTGTCCTTGCCATGGAAGCAGCTCAGAGGCCCCCTCCTGCTCCCCTACAGGAGCTGGGTCCACCCCCCCATCCATGCTCCATCCTCCCACACTTACCAAGCTCCCCCTGGCAGATATCTGTCCTGGTGGCTCCTCCAAGAATGAATTCTGGGTTTTCCACTATTTCCTGGAAAAACAAAGGCATTACTGACGTGAGGCCAGCCGCGTACGAGGCTAGTGCGCTTGGAGCAGCCCCAGCATCTCTCTATGTTCTGGGAGCAGAGGCCTTCTTCCTGTATTTGATTCTTTTCCCGTGGAGGGACACACAGACTCTCTGGGAGACAGCACCCCATGGGGAAAGGTCCTGCCTGCTGGGGGGCCTCTCGGTGCAGACCTCTGGTCAAACCAGCAACTCCTGCCATGCCTGGCTGCAGAGCAGGACCACGAACTGAAGATTCCCACTGCCACTCAGGCCCTAGGCTGGGAGTCGGGGGTGGGGGGTGGCGTGAGTTCAAGTCCTGACTTCTTGCTTATGGCCATTATACCTTCTGTGGGCTTCGAATTCCTCAACTTAAAGTGGGGTAATTACACACACCACAGACTGGTGTCTAGGATTAAATACAAATTTCCACTCCACCCATCCAGCTTTTCTTTTTTAAAATATGTATTGTGTGTGTGTGTGTGTGTGTGTGTATTTATATATATATATATATATATATATATATATATATGCAGTAAAACCTTGGTTTGCGAGCATAATTCGTTCTGCAAACATGCATGTAATCCAAAGCACTTGTATATCAAAGCGAATTTCCCCATAAGAAATCATGGAAACTCAGATGATTGGTTCCACAACCCAAAAATATTCATATAAGAACAACTACAATACTGTAATATAATATAACAAAATAAAGAAAATACAAAATACATTTAAAAAAAACAAATTAACCTGCACTTACCTCTGAAAACCTTCGTGGCTAGTGTGAGGGAGACAAGAGAGGAGGGTGATTGTGTGGGAAGACTTTCACTCTCACTGACGGAACCACTGCTATCTATGGGCTCAGTGGAATCTTTTTCTTTTTGTGCAACTTTAACAAGGAACCTATCCAATGATCTAGAAGGAAACAAGGCATTCCTAAGCTCACTCTTGTATGCAAGAGCAAAGGACTGTCCACAGGGGCTTTGAAGTGACAAAAAATACACTCGTGCCAGTCATGGGCACCTTCCAATGTTTTGAAAAATCTCTGATTTCTGCTAAACACTGCAGCCTGAGACGGAGCATCTGAGTATGGGAGATGATCACCCACAATTCCATAGCAAGAGAGAGAGAGACAGACAGAGAGAGAGAGAGAGAGAGAGAGAGCACGATCCATTGGCTCAGTTGTGATCATGTGACATTTGGCATCACGTACTACTCGTATTGCAAGACATTGCTGGTTTATCAAGTTAAAATTTATTAGAAATATTCACTCATCTTGTGGAACACTCACAGAACAAGTTACTTGCAATCCAAGGTTTTACTGTGTGTGTATATATATGTGTGTGTGTGTGTATACTGTATATATACTGTGTATATGCGTATATATATGTGTGTATATATACTATGTGTGTATGTATACTATTTGTGTGGGAGATATGTGCATTTATCTCTCATGTAACTTGACCTCAGTGCATTATATATATTCTATTATATATTTTACATATTATATTATTATGTATACATAGTTATTTACACATACATTTACATATACTGAGAGATATGTATAAAACAGTAACAAAAAAGCACTTGAATGCAATTATATAAAATTCATATATTCTTTCCAGTGTTCTGGGGCACCAGTCTCCATTCCTGGCATGGACCACGGCAAAGACCAAGACCCTGTCCCCTGCCCCTGTCCCCTGCCGAGTGAGGGGGGACAGACCATGAACAAGCAAGCAGACATACAAGTTCAGGAGGGAGAAGCACCTGAATGGAAAGTGAGGGCGCGAGATGCAGGTATTTTAGCTGGAGCGGTCAGGGAGGGTGTCCAGGGGAAGCAGACAGAGGAGTAGGGAGTCGTGTGAAGGTCGGGGGAGAGGAAACAACAAATCAGGAGACACAGAGGAAAGTTCTGGCATACAGCAGGTGCTTGGTCATTTTAACTGGATCCGAGTACAGGCTGAGTAAGGGATCTTCCCCCTTATTTCCAGAAACAGGCCTGGAGGGAGAAGGCCTCACCGGTCCCCAGGTGGATGCCTCCAGGGACCGATGTGCCCTGAATGGTCTTTCTCAAGCTCTCCAGGCCCCTGCTTCTCCTCTGGGCGGGGTCCCAAAGAATCACGGGAGCATGGCGATTCCTTGGCGGGAAGGGGAACTTCTCAAGACAAAGTGGACAGTGACGGTGCTCTCTCTGCAGCCCGCGGGGTGCAGTGACCACGACACCCAGAACATCTGCCCAGAGAATGCTCCTTGGATTTATGTTTACAATATTTCAGGAAACTCGGCCAGGAGAATTTCTGAGCACTGTGTCGTGGGTTCGCCGCAAACCGAGGCCTGGCAGAGGGCTGACCAACATCCCATCTCGAATTCAGTCTCCTCTAGTTCTACCCTTTGCGCCAGGTAGGCCGGGGGTCCTGGATCACTGCAGGCTCCGGAATGGCCGGAAAGGCAGCACAAGGTGGTGGGGGCAGCTCCTCTGTGCTGGTCTCCTGGCCGGCCGCTGGGGACCCTCCCACACCGCCCTCTCCCCTGGCTGAGCCCAGTTCCGCAGTGGGGGCTGGGGGGTGGGTGCAGGTGGCTCAGAGCCGCAGGTGGTAAACCGGGAAGCTGAGGTCTCCGGCGTAGCTCTCCCCGATCAGCAGAGGGGCTCTGTGCAGGCCCTCTAACTTCTCCAGGCCCTGTCACGTGACACCCAGACCGCCCCCCCCTCCACTTGGACATTCGGCGCCAGGTCCAGATGCGTATTGGAGGCCCTGCCCGAAGGGCACCCCGGGGACTCCCACGGTGCTCCCCGCACAGCCAGCCGCCATCAGGGGGCGCTATAGGGCCCTCGCAGGCAGGACCCCCACAGCCACGGCCGCTCACCCCTATATGCAAAATGGACTCTGAAGGCTGGCACATTCTGCCCGGCAGCCGTGAGCAAGACCCCACCCCCGCCCCACTTCTCGGCCCTCCCCTCTGCCGCCTTCTGCTGGCCCATGCCCCCATCTGCGCCCACTATGCCCGCAGCAGCCACCGCCGCTCAGATCCATCTTGCAGTTACTAGTTTTTGTCCAGGAGAGTTTTACCGAATTGCATCAAACTGTGGACTGAAGGAGGAAAGCACAAAAGGAGAAAACTCAAACTGTCACCAAGTGAACCCCCGTCAGCCATCCGGTGTAAAGCGGCAGGGTCCCCGGATGTGTGGCTGGGACGGTGGTCAGTGCCGGGCGCCCGTGAGCAGCGGGTACGTGCGTCGTCCCCGAGGTTCTCAGTGCCAACAAGCGCTAGATGCCATCACGGAAGTGAGTCTCATGCGTGTGAAACGTGTGTGACCGGTGTAGGGGGGGAGGGGGGCATATACGGCCCATGTCTGTGTGCATCCGGGTGCTCTGCGCGTGTGCCTGGGGCCCGGGGCACGTTTGTTCACGTGAGATGCTGTTCGGGGGAATTGAGGATGAGGGTCACCTCCTACAGCGCTGCGATGGGAAGATCAGTCTTGGGAAACCTGATGCGAACCCAGACCATTCCCCGGACAGTGGGGGTCGAGGGGCTGGGCCTCCACACCACCGGCAGGTTTTCCTGGAGGACAGAGTACCAAGCACCTAGGAATGTTTGCTCAGGGCCTGTTCTGTTCACTTTGTCCATCATCAGGGGCTCGGCCACACACATCGACTTTTCTGTACTAAGGAGTTAATTTAAAAGGGGGAAAGTCACATTTCTAACAACTTCCGAGAGGCTGGGTCCTGTGATTGACAGCTGTGTGTTCCCAGGTCTGTGGAGGGCTGAGGACACTGGGCTGGGGGAGGGGAGTCCCAAAGCCACTCACGACCTCAGAAGGCACAGGGATAGGGGTGAGCTGCCTGTGGGGCGCAGTCATAGCCACATGCCACAGTGTACCCGGGCTAGAGGGGTGTGGGCATCTTCACAAGGTGTCTGGGTTAGGCTGAGCAGTTAGGGAGGGGACAGGGAGTTGTGGAGGAAAAGGCCAGATGAAACACTTGTGAGCTAAGGGAGTCGGGCTGTGGGCCCAGGGAGACTGGCCACCGGCTGACTGTACCTTGGCCGTCTGTGCCCAAGCCCCACCCCTCCACACTCAGACCCACAGCCCTTTCGGTGAGGTCCCCTGGAGGTGATCTCACTTTCTCCCCAAGCACAGCCTGTCACCCCAACCCCACTGTGGGCCCCAGACGATCCCCCTCAGTGCACCCGTGCCCTGGGCTCCCTGGGGGGCAAGGCTGGCTGCCCGCTACCCTCTGTCTTCTCTGATTCCAGCCGCTCTGGGGCTCACCCCCCGCCTGCAAAGCACAGCTGTGTTTGACAAGAAGGTGGTGCTGGGGAGGGCACCCCGCCCCATGGTCCCCTGCGCAGCTCTGCACCTACCGTCCCGGCTCGCACCCTCTAAGTGCGTGGGCGGAAATGCCAACAGCACCCAAGCCACACAGGCCTTCTGGAGGGACACGGCTGACATTTCCCTGCTGCCCCTTGCCCGGTGACCCTGGACCTCCATCCAGCAAGAGGAGTATCAGTCCTCACCCCCCACCCAGCCCCTTGCTCCTGATTTCACAGAAGTCTGCCAAACCCCACGGCTAGGAAGCAGATAGGTGTGTTCCCGGGAATGAGGACAGAAGGGACGCCTCAGGGGCACGCAAAGTCAAAGGCAGAGCAGATTCTGAGAAAGAGTGGGCAGGACGGACAGCAACACAGTGGACCTGAATTAAGATAAAGACGTCATTGGCCCCTTGGCCGAGGGCGGAGGGGCTGGGGTGTACCAGGGACCCTGGTCCGTGAGTGGCAGCCTCACCCATCATTTGGGGCAACCCCAAGGGAGCTCAGTAGCGAAGATGACCGCCTCCTAGAGCTGAGATTCGGGATTCTGGAATCCCTCGGGGGTGTCGGGAGCCCTTATTCCACAGGGGGCACCTCCGGGAACGGGAACAAAAGCGTTCTCCGCCCTGGCCAATGTGCATTAACCTTTTATGCTGGAGAAAAGTCCAACTCTGGCAAAGAGAAGGGGAGTTGTAGGCAGCAGAATTACAGGTTAAGCCAGAGGATGCAGGTGTGGACCGCGGGGCAGGGCGCCTATTGGGCCCAGAGGTGATGGTGTCCGGTTACAATTACAGCGGGAGCGATCACTTATTTACAGGCTCTTTTCTGCGTGCTCTACACGTTAACACAGTAATCCCTGCAATAGCCCAGCATGGGGGGCAGCATTATTACCCTCCTTCTGTGATAGAGAAAAGTGAGGGTTTCTGGCGCGCTGTTCGGACACCCCCAGCAGTGGGGAAGGGCCTGTTCCCTTGGTTGGGGGTGTTGAGAAAGCTACCTCTTCCAAGGTCACGGCTTTCAGGGGTACCACATCCAGTGACTCATTTGTGAAGGGCACAGACACAGGTGCACCTGTCACCCTGACCCCAGGAGACCCCGAGAGCCCATCCCAGCTCCAGAGCGTCCCATGCGGCTCACTGCGGCCTTTTTGGGGCCACATCACAGCCCCAAGGTTCCTTCCGCCCACCCCTGCTCGGTCTTCCCACAGATGTTGGTCCCAAGGGCACCCATGATAAACTGATAAGCGTCCTGCGGGCACTCTTTGTGCGGGGTCCAGAGAGGAGGTCAATAGGCTGTAGGTGGCTTTGCTCTGGGGTGGGTGGGACAATCACTGCCATTTACTGCAAACTGTTGCTGGACATTGGATCTACATTGGTCATCTCTGTTCTGCCTTCACAGGCTCGGGAACCCAGTGCCAGGACCACAGTGGCAGCGTGGGACCAGCACCCAGGGCCTCTCCTTCCGCCCAGCCCTTTCTGTGCTCTCCCTGCCCCCACAGGAGCCCCTCCCAGGCCAGTCCCCACCTGGAGGGAATGACAGGCAGAGGCGCCTGGGCAGAGGTCAAGGCCTGACTAAACCAGCACAGCAAATATTGACTCCTTGTGCGAGCCACTGGCTGGCGCCCCTTGGGACCATCTCCTTCAGTCTGTTGGGGGTGGGGCAGCTCAGACGCTGGCTCCCCCCTGGGAAGGGGGATGCATGCTTCGGGGAGAGAAGCCTTGTTTTCCAAGTGTCCCATCCGTCACATTACTGAGCACTTGCTGAGTGAGGGTGCGTCCACACTGAGCACCCTGGGCTGCGCCAGAAGCTACAGGCACATAACGTGCACCAGCACGTGGCGAGAGCGTGTCACTTGAGACTTGGCTCAGATAAGCTTTGATTCCCACTTACCGCTTACTGACAAGCCCCTCTCTGGCTCTGGGTCCCAGTCCTGGGCTCACCTTGGTGGGAGTCAGAGAGCTGGGGATGGGGTGGAGCCAGACACCAATGGCACCCCCCGGGGAGCGTCCCTGACCCGCCGGTCGTGCCCCATGTGTGTCGTTTCCTGCGCAAACCGCACAGCATCTCAACAGTAGACTTGGCCGATGTGCTGGCAGATGTGTCTGTGTGCAGCCCACCCTCCCGGCACCCCCTCTCCTGGGCTGCTGAGCCTCACCCCTGCCTGCCAACCCCCTCAGCTCCTACGGGACTCACCCCTGGCCGTTTCCACACGAAGGGGATCTGGGGCCTCTCGCTGTAGAAGAGAGAGGAGCTGTTGGCCAGGAAGTCTGCGTCCTCAAACAGGATGCCCTTCTGCACGCACTCCTGCCTCAGCTGCTCGAAGCTCTGGCCTGAGGAGTGGGTGGTGCGCGCGTCCTTGGGAACCGGGTGCTTCTGGGGCCCTGGGGCCCTATAGAGGTAGGGCATGGCTGCTCCCCCGTGGGTCAGCCACAGGTGGGAAGAAGCGAGGCAAGTGTGTGAGGAGGGAGCCAGCTCGGGGCACCTGGGCTGAGTGGCCCTTGGCCTCCACCTGTTTGCCTGGGAACCTCCCTGTTAAGGCTGAAACGAGGCACGCCCTGATGGCAAACTGCAGAGAGAGCTCTCTGCCTCCCTCCTGACCTGCGGACCCAGAGGGAGCAGCGAGCCTGGGCCAATTCCGGGCAGAAGCAGCAATGCTGAATGAGCTGGGGAGACCCCATGGGAGAGAGAGGATTGCTTTATGGGGAAAGGGAGCAAGAGAGCAGATGGGTCCGGGAGGGGGCACGCAGTGTTTGTTGCACGGGAGGAGAGTGCATGGGGTGGTCTTGAATCATATCTGAAGTCATGGAGCAATGAGGGAGGTGAGTGAATCATCATGGCACTCAGTACATGAACGGAGCTCACCCGGCTCTCTCTCAGGCGGCCTTGTTTTGATTCAGAGCAGGGGTGGGCAGACTTGTTCTGTAAAGAGCCAGCTAGTCAACATTTCCGGCTCTGTGGGCCTCATGGTCTGTGTTACAGCCATTCCACTTTTTGGGTCATAGCGCAAAAGCAGCCACGGATGCCGCGTGATGAATCGGCACGGCTGGGTGCCAATAAAACTTTACTTACAAAAGCAGACGGAGGGCCGGATGTCATCCAGCCAGAATTTGGTGACTGGCCCCCCATACAGGTGTACTCACAGCGGCCGTCCACCCCTCCTCCAGGGTACAGGCGCCTCTGTTCTCCAACATTCCTGGCAGTAGGTGCCGGGAAACATTTGCAAAAACAGACATCATATCAATAAAATTTCGTGTCCTTTAAAACTCTATGAGAGGACTTCGCATGTAAGAAGAAATGAAGTTTGGGGATTGGAGGTGGTTATAAAACTATAAACTATAGTTATAAACTATAAAGTTTAATAAAAGCATTAGCCACTCCGTAAAGCCCCTGGTCTTCTAAACACTCTACAACGATTTCTCTGCGATCCTCGAAATAGTAACAGTCGCTGTTGGAGTCACAGGGTCTTGCGTTAAAAGCCCAGGACAGAGTTTTTACAGGATCCCCCTGAAGGGCCTAAGTAACGCCATTTTGAGATTAAGGCCTCCATTCAGAGAGCAACCCACGGGCTGCACATAGCCCCAGTACCAGGAAAAACTTTAGCTGAAGCCACCCACGGACTACTCTCAGGTCAGCCAATCAAAAAAAGTTAAGAAAGATAGGAGTAACATTCCTGTGGTCTGAGTCAGGGTCTGGGGACTATAGATAACTATGTACAAACTAGCCAAGCACCCACCGCTTGCCTGAACCCCGCGTGGGCCCTTTAAACTCACCTCATAATTGGTAATTTTCAAAGGATTCTCAAAGGTCATGATTGGGTCCCACCAAAAGTAACGAACACCTCACAGATACTTAATGGTCAAAACTGTTGCCATGGGTGCTGTACAACTATGATTGGTGCTTATGTGATGATGCTATGCGTACAACGTGTACACTGTAACACCCCCATCCCTTACCCCATAAAAACCCTGCTCGCTATTGTTCGGGGCATCACCTTGCTGTCACTGCGCCAGTTGTTGGGTGAGCCCCTGCTCAAGCTTGTAATAAAGACCCTTATGTACTTTCATCGGTGTCCCCTCCTGGAGGTCCCTGGGGACTTGCGACTCAGGCATAACACCCCAATTCTCAGGACTTTCACTTAGTTCCACACACTTTCTGTCGCGTGGATCCTGCATATTGTTTTACTGGGAATGTGTAGACGTCGAAGTGGGGGACATCTAGCTTGATCTCCTAGTTTTGCCTGGGGTGACCTTGGACAGTCTGTGCCTGTTTTCTCAGCGTGAGGCAGGTCAACATGGGTCCCCGGGGCTGCGGTGGGATTATGGGATCACAGCAACTTGCAGAGTCCCGCACATGTGGGGTTCTCGCTGTCCCCTGCCCCATCCCACAGACACCGGCTCTCACAACCCCACTTCTGAGGCTCTTTTCTTGTGTCTCCTCATCCGCACAACAAAGGCTTCTGCCGTGGTTCTGTATTAGAAACAGTGGAGCCGCTGAGTCCTGTGTCCCAGCAGACAGCTCTACTTAGCAGTGATTAAGGACAACAGCCAGGGAAACAGGTGTGACAGCATGAGGGCCATCCATTTCTGGTGGCACCTCCATCAAGGAAATGATCACCAGCCCAGGTTCCTGAGAATTTCCCCTTCAAGTGCCCCAGCAGAAGTGAAATTTAGCACCCACCACGCCACTTAATGTCCGACCTTCCCCACGCTCCAGGAATTGTGTCCTCACTCCATTCCCATTACAAACCCCTCTCTGGGCAGGGGTCTTTCCACCCTGATCTTTCCTGGGGACTGGCAGAATCTGTTTGTTTTTAACTAAAAACCGATCTCAGTTACTGGGAAATCAGAGAACTGTGCTGTCATTTGTGACCAATGCAAAAATGCCTCTGAGTGGAAAATGCACTAAAGCGTTTAGTGAGCTCCAGCCTATTGGGGTTCACCTTGCGCGCTGCTCCCCAGGGCCACGGTGCCAGCACGGAGGACAGGACCCTGCCCCAGGGCATCTGCCTGCGGGTTCTCAGGTGTCATTATGCGCTCAGCCTTCCCGACCCCTCCCAGCCCTGTCCCTTGAGAAACAGCCTGACCCTGGGGCAGGAAGGCAGATTCCGTGTGCAAATGTCCCTGCGAGAGCTCATTGTCACAGACTCGGGGCTGCATCCGGGCGCCTCTGAGGCCCGCCCCCCAGCCTGGCCCTGCATACCAGCTGCGGGCATAGCGGCTGGATGAGCCTTGAACCAATGCCTCAGGAAAGCAGATACCGTTCTTGAGTTTCATTTTCCAAACCTCTGCTGCTTCTCAGGATGGAACACGCTTAGAGGAACTTCAGTGACACTGTCTGGAGGCCTGGCAGGCCCTCGGAAAAGCTCTCAACACCTTGGGGGGAAGGTCCGAGGGTCTGCCCGCGGGAAGGCAGTGTCTTGTCATAAATTCTGTCTGCTTGTCCCCAGCCTAGCGACCTGGGAGGCTTTGAGCCCTGTGAGCCTCCAGGGACCATTCGTCATTTTAGCTGTATTTCCTTCCCCTTGGCAGAGCGATCTGCTGAAGTGAATTCTAAATTAATCGATCCTTAACCAGGGCCTCGGGGGACCTTCCGGTCCTCCCCCTCCACACCGTTGGCCTGCAATGAATACGTTTTATTCTCCTTTCTCCAGAGCAAGCCCAGGTGTTTATGCTCAGGGCACAGGGATGCGAAGATCATGCCTGGGGGGTGGGTGTGTGTGTGTGGGGGGGTCTGTGACGCTTCCGGGCAAAACTCAGGAACCAAAGGTCTGAACCCTCCTCCGGGTGCAGTCTCTTTGTCTTCGGACTCCAGTGGGGTCGGACATCACAGCAGGACAAACTCCTCACAAGCACACACAACAGATTTGATCCTGTAACGGGATGGTCCTGTTCTCCGTGCCTGGCTCAGCAGGCGATGGGTGTGGTCTGTGCCCGCCCCCTGCTGTGCGGGGCGGGGCCGAAGAAGACACCAGATCGGAGGGGAGCCAGGGCGCATGCTCAGTGTGCAGGTGGCGGGGAGGGGAGCCAGGGCGCATGCTCAGTGTGCAGGTGGGCGGGGCCTGGCTTGCAACAGGTGTGGTAGGCCAGATGGTGGGAAGGGACCGGTTCCCTTTGGAGAGTTAGTGTCAGGGCTTCCTGGTGGGGTGCTGGGATGGGGCTTCCTGCTCTCTGACCCAAGAAAAAGAACGGATGAGGGACAGACCTAGACATTCAAAGCTTTGGATATGATGGTAGGAAAATGCCCTCGTCATTGCTGGTGGGAGTGTAGAGTGTAAACTGTTATAAGCGCTTTGGACATGGTTTATTAAAATCTATCAAAAGGGGCGCATGGATGGTTCAGTCAGTTGAGCATCTGATTTCGGCTTAGGTCATGATCTCGTGGTTCCTGAGTTCGAGTCCCGGGTCTGGCTCTGTGCTGACAGCTCGGAGCCTGGAACCTGATTCAGATTTTGTGTCTCACTCTCTCTCTGCCCCTCCTCCATGCGTGCTCTGTCTCTCTCTCTCTCTCTCTCTCTCCCTCTCTCTCAAAAATGAATAAAGATTAAAAACTAAAAAGATAATAAAATCTATCAAAATTACAAATGTCCAGGCCCCCCCACCCCCCGAGCTAGCCATTCCTCCTACCAACTTCTCCAGCAGATAAACCTACAACCATGAAAAGGGAAAGATGCGCAACCTTATTTATTTCATTGCAGTGCTATTTGCTTTAGAAAAAGTTGAGAAGCACTTGGGGACGACTATTAGGGGTGATAATAAAAAAATTATGGCACAGGGGCGCCTGGATGGCTCAGTCAGTTAAGTGTCCGACTTCGGCTTGCATCATGATCTCACGGTTGGTGAGTTCGAGCCCTGAGTCTGGGTCTCTGTTCTCAGCACAGAACCTGCTTTGGATCCTCTCTCCCTACCCAGGGACCATTCTCCCACATGTGCACCCTCTTTCTCTCTCAAAACTAAACAGATGTTTTTTTAAAAATATGGCACAGATAACCATGAAATTGAACACCACGAAGACCGAAACTTTACAACAACACGGATGGCTGCTGGCTATTCTTCTGAACAATCCAGAGTGTGCAGAGTCTCCATTTGTGGAGAAAGGGAGGAGAGAGCATGTGTTTCTAGCTGCTTAAGAAGCTCTTAGAAGATACACCAGACATATTAAGAGGGTTCCTTCTTCTGGGGATAAGCTAACCAGAGCTAGGGTGTCAGGGAGACTCCTCCATAAGCCTTTTAATCCTTTTTTATATTTGTAACCTTATAGGCTTACTCAATTGAATCTAAGTCTCATGCCCAGGAGACAGTCAGAGTCGACATCAAATGGGCAGTTAGACAGTGAGCAGGGACACAGAGGGCCCATGAAGGCCCCTGTCCTCCCTTCCAACATACCGAGTCCCTCTGGCCTCAGGAACC